TCCACTGCTGGATGAGAGCTTCCCCACGCCATGTGGATCATGGGGATTATTTGACCGTACATACTTCACTCGGCTGGTCAGTGCGCAATGTACACGTACATATTCGTGCATGAATTTGTGCACATACACCTCGTTTAGCAGTTGACAAGCCATCCCACTGGGGGTCGCTGACGATGCACACTAGTTTCTTCTTGTTCAAGAATCCATATTGGAAGGATGTCGGAATGCCCGGCGAAAACCCACCACTCGTGGGTGACCCTGGTATTCAAAAAACTCAATTATTAATATACTCTAAGCATTGTCTTCCAACACGATGCATTTTTACATGGTTATGGCCCATCCAAGCACAATACCAGGTGTTCTAAGCTGCTTCAGGGCGAGGTGGTGATCAGCAGAAGGCAGGGTAGCAACTAATTTTGTTTTACTGTTCCAAAGCTCCAATATCTATGCTCCACGTTTTCGCAAATCAGCACTAACCATCCCATGACCCGCACGGCATGGGGAGACCCACATCTATCAGTGCAATGACCTATGCCCTCAGGGATGCACAGTACATTAACATGCCTTACTGCATGCGGCATTACCTTTTTGTCCAGATTTTAAGATGCTCCGGAAAGTAGGGCGCACCCTAAACAGCAAATCTGGTAACACAAACACGTTCCAAATTAACATGCACCACCAACTTTTGCTTTAAATACAGGCGGTGGTGGGAGGAGTGTATCTCCTCATTCGGAAAAAATGGTAAAAGAAGAAAAGTATAAATACTGTAGAATCCACATTCAGGGCACTTTAATAGCTTAAATTTAACACTGGGTTAATTAAACGACCAATGTAATTAATTACATCGAATATACGATTCACAGCTTCATAAATGCTAAGTACAGCAATGCTCGGTCTTGAATTTATCAGAGACATGTCTCTAGGGAGGGTAATATGCTCGAATATCCTAATGCCATTTGCTGATCAATATTCTCCCATGGAAAACCGCAGCAGCATACAAAATGTTGTTGGTTTGAACCCAAGCCACCCCTTTAGCCCAGCAGAGAATGTCACGTCTGCCTGTGGGAGCGACTGGTGACCACTCTGTAGGCTATATTCTGATGAATCACATGCTAATACGTTTTGAATTATATTTCAGGGTTTTCTATTGATCCCTGGCTCTCTCTCTCTGTTATGTTTTTCTCTGCATTTTGATTTATATTGGTTATTGTTTGCGTTTTTTTTATATATGTTGTGTAGCACTCTATAACGTGTTTCTGTAACTATATTTTCGTTTGTGAATTTATATTTGTTGCGCTCGAAAATATTTGCTGTTAAGATGTTTAACTCTGCATTTTAAATTGTAGCCTTCCAGTCTGTTTGCTGTTTATCATTGTGTTTTACATTGTTGTCCTAGAACCCAAACTGTTTATTTTTAACTATTTTACTCAGTGCTACATTAACCCGGAGACTTATGGTCACAATGGGCTCATTGAAAAACCTGGTCTTGTAAATAGAGGGCAGTTAAATCCATTGATGGTAGGAGAGATTGTTTTGTGTTTTGCAGGGCTTTGAGTTGTATCCCCTTGGATGCATGGGATTTCTCTGGGTACTTCAGTTCACTCCCACTTACCACTCTGTAATAGACCATTTATAACACTTTCTGTAAATGATAAGAAACTCATCAGACAGAATAATGCGTGGAAGCTGAAAACAATAGTTAACAATAATGCAGACAAAAGGTGATTTCCAGATGGCAAAAGGCAGAATCGTGACCATAACATGTATCCACTTATCATCCCATGCACGGTAGATGACATCACCATACTGTGTGTGCATGTATAATGCATAAAGCATTTCGATTGACAACTGCGTGGGTTTTCGCAGCTGGGCTGTATCACTCTCCGATGTGTTTTCTGGTTATACTGCGTGTTATTTGGCATGGTGTCAGACGCTTCGCTCCATGTGTTCGGAGCTAATTCAAGAACTGATTTTCAGATTCTAAATGCGAGATCCTCCTGAAAGAAAGGTCTTAACTCAACGAGGTCCCTCTTGGATAAATGCTATTTTTAAATCCTTTATATTAAGTTCACTTGCTTGCTTGCTTGCGCGCTTACGACCGTGCAAATCTTTCGGTCGTTTTTTAAACCACTCCCCGTGATCCAATCGAGCTGACATTTTGCACACAGACTCGTTGTGCGTGAAAATGTATTTTCGTGAAATTTTTTCCAAAATGTTAGGATTTTTTTTATATTTAATTACCAATTGCTTAATGGTGGCAGGCATTCGTCTGACCCATAGGTGGCAGCCATCTCAAGCCAGAGGACGAGAGGACTCTAGCCGCCACGCATATAAAGGATTTATAGTGAAAAACTTTGTTTTTACGGGTTAATTTTTTCGTTTCATTCTGATGCGTTCTGCGTACGCGTAGTGTTTGGAATGTTAATGCAACATAGCCTTCAGCATTCAGCAACCAAGACTTCACAACCTTTCAAGTGCTATTTCTGGTTAAACTCCAAGTCTCCTATTATGACACCAAATGGTAGACAGCACAGTGTATGTAAACGTATGTAGACTACAGCGCATGTATATGTACACGTCTCTTTTCTCAATCCATTGGAAGATGTGGGTCTCCCCACGCCGTCCAGAGCAGTAGACATTATTTTGCCATACTTCACCAGGCTGGTCACTGCGGGTTTGTGAAGGCGGGGGGGGCTTCGAATTACGGCCCAGCAATAGATTGTTTTTTTCTGCACTGCTGCTCTCTCTGTTGACCTCCACGGAAACGTGGCGTGTATGATGGTCGTTTCGTCCGAGCACGAACCCAGGCTCCAGCCTGCTTAGCTTCCGAGATCTGTCTCATTACAGTTGATGTTGTCATAGCAAAGTACGATCTGTACATGTATTCACTGCTGTATGTCCGTGTAGTTTTACTATGTATTAAATAAGCAATACTCTATAAAAACCCACAAAACAAGCAAATGCAATAGGTGTAGGTCTATAGATTACAGATAAAAGTATTCATACTCCGACAGACGGACGACACCAAAGCCGATGTGCGCAATGAACCAGGTATTGTAATCCAGACAGGAGCTGGCCAATGCACCGTGTGCTTTTGGAAGCCAGTCTTGTATGACAGACACATCTACTATGTTTAAGCAGACAAAATAAATAAGCGGACAAAATAACGCCTACTTAGTTCCCATATCGGTCCCTCCACGTGTAAATGTATCGCATTTTCATAGGTTACATTAGCCACGGGGCCTTTTGGGGGTGCAAAATGCGCTGTGGTTTCACACAAGCAACCTGCGGACCGGTTTGGACATTCGGCGATTAATTTGCTCATGGTCACAAGAGACCGCGTCGTGTCTGGACACGCGTGAGAGTGTGCCGGGCGTGACACATTTGCCACGTCCACCCCAATGGCACGTGGTCACACCAACTCCACTCAATTGCGCTCGTACACGATGTACATTTAGGTAGGAACCTCCTGGTTACACCAGCCCACACGGGATTATTGTGTCCGTCCGTCGTGCAGGAAGGGGCTGGGTGGGGAGGGAGGGGATGGGTGGGGAGGGAAGGGTGGGGTGGGGCTGGGTGGGGAGGATGGGGTGGGGCTGGGTGGGGAGGGGGGTGGGGAGGGGAGGGTGGGGAGGGGCTGGGTGGGGAGGGTGGGGAGGGTGGGGGGTGGGAGGGGTGGGGCTGGGTGGGGAGGGGCTGGGTGGGGAGGGGGGGAAGGGGCTGGGTGGGGCTGGGTGGGGAGGGGCTGATCACCCCGTGGTGCCCTTATAAAACTCAACGTTTAACCTACTCACGCCGGCTTGTGCCCGCCCTCACAGTCGGGCATATTTGCGGAATACACCACGCCGCCGTTGACCCTGCAGGCCATTGACCGAGCAACCCAACGTTCCTACCAGCTCCCTCCGCAGGAATGTGTTGCATGGGCAGAAGAGTAACACATATCGTTGTTAAAATACATAAGCATAACTAGACCAGTTTCCACATGTTTGTCCTTTGTTTATTTACACATCACACCAACCACAGGGTCTTCTGGGAGTGCGTAATTTCAGCAGCATTGGTTCAACACAAGCAAATTCCGGACAGGTCGAAAGATATAGTGTCTCATCAGCAGAATTTGGCTCGATTGTTTGCTTATTTTATTACATAGTGATTCGAAAAGTCTTGTTCAAATGAGCATGGAGAGAGTGATTTTGCCTCCTGTTTGCAGCCCTTAGCCAGCGGTGAAAATCTCAAATTCCTTTGGCGGGGAAGTGAATCTAACCATAGAGACGTTGTTGACTTCGCCACAAAAGGTGGTAATATATATTTTTATTGATTTGGGATGGAATACGGGTTCAGTCAGCACCCAACAAGAATTTGAATTCGCTCATTCCGATTGCCGGTAACTAATACACTTAGTAGTACAAACTAAATATGCGTAGTTATGGAGCATTATGGATAGAATATACAATGCGGTACTGTATTAACAAACTATGTTGTGCGTATATTGTTTATGATTTTATCTTACTAAATATATCAAGGAAATTACATTCACATTATTGTTTATGCATCTGTACTGGATACCTTTCTGGTGTTAATTCGATCAGTCCATCATTATATTGGTTCATATTTCTCAGCACTAATTATCAAGGTCCATAGGAAGTGATTTGTTTGGATATGTAATTATAGTGTCTAATTGATACCCTGGGCACCCTTGCAAACGAGACGTTCCATCTCCAGGGATTATCCAGGTAAAATGTTTGCATAAATACCAAAAACGTCATGTTACAATAAGCCAAAAATGTCATGCTACCAAAATAAAATGTTTCTTTAAAAAAACACAGAATTAAGCAGCTTTACAAACACACCGAATATTTACGCAAAATAGTTTTCAGAAAACATGAGTACATGAATGTAAGCTTTTACTAAATTATGTAAATTTCCAGGGATAATTTATGTTAAATTATAAAAAATTAATTATAATAGTGGGGCGTGTCGCGAGACTGCGCATGCGCAGCTCGACGGGGAAGTGCCGGCCACTGTTTCGGGTTGGCAGCGATCAAATCGGTTTCGTCTTTAAAAAAAAAGCAAAAACGTTTATTCATTTCTTTTTTTATCCCCTCGTTACGTTGGTGAAAAGGGGCTACGTGTAACAATTAAGAGAGACGACGACGAAGACGACGAAACCGACATTTATAAAAAACAAACAAATTTTAACAACGCTACCGGTACAATGACATAAGGTGCGGCGGCGAGGCAGCGCGCAAGGTACGAGAAGATACGCCGCGACCCCCACGCGAAACGTCTCCACTCTTGGGGTTTTACATGGGTTCGTGTTGAGTGTTTTGGGGCGACCTCTCGCAGTAGAAGAGCTTGCCGTGTCGTGTGAGTGTGTGGAGTGTTTTGCTTAGAGCGCCGTGTGGGTGGGGGGAGCGGTGGTGCAGCGGTTAGCGCCGCCTACGAACCGGCGTCCTCGGGTTCGATTCTCGCTCACGGCCAACACCGCTGACGATTGTCTGAACGGGTCCTGGGCCCTCCCCCCTAGGTCGACTCAGCCTCAAACGATTCCCTGCTGCGGTGTGTAAACATCGGCCCTGGGGGAGACAAAGGCGGCCGGGCGTGGTTTGCTGGTCACCCCCCCCCCCCCTATCGTGTGGTGCCGTGCCGGCTGTCGTGGGTGCTACTCACTAACATCACTTGCCCCACCACAGTGTGACATCGCGTTCACGTGTAGTAGGGCTTGCTTATAGTTCAACATTTGGGACGCGCGTGTTCGTTTAGTCGCTTTATATGTGTACACAGAATGCCCCCCTCCCTCCCTCCCTCTGCCTGTTTCTTGTTTTTATTCGTGAACACTGGTGCCACCTGCAGGTTGGTTCGAAGGTTGTTGCTGTTGACAAGAGGACAACAGCCTCGTCTTGAAGGGGGCGTCACGCCGGGCTGACTGTGGGGGGAGGACGAGGCACCAAGGACGAGGCCAACTCACTCCCATCACGAGGACCAAGGGGACGGAGAGGGCCCTGCACTTGCCAACAGGGAGGGAGGGAGGAAAGCCAGACCTGACGAGGGGAGACTGGCAACACGGAGAACAGAGGTACGACCGAGAGACATTCTTCTTTTTACCCTGTATTGGTTGGTACTCATCGGAATTCTCTTCGCCTCTTCCCAATGGCAAAATGTTCGCGAGCTGAAATGTCGATGTCTAGGTCATGCTGGCCACGACGGAGAGTGCTTCAGGGGAGAGCGTTTGTGTCGTTTTCTCATGAACACGATTAGAAACGTGTTCTAGATTTGAGGCTTTCGTGTGACTGCAATGATTCATACTCTTTGGTGTTTTCGGTGAAGTCACGTAGGTAAAACAATCAAGAAGAGAAAATAAATGAAATCAACCAAATCAAATCATGACGTTTCGGAGGCAACACAAGCTTCGTGTTGCCAGTCTCCAACACAAGCTTCCTTCATCAGGTGTACATTTTAACACCTGATGAAGGAAGCTTGTGTTGCCTCCGAAACGTCGTGATTTGATTTGGTTGTTTTCAATTATTTTGTTTTATTGATTGTTTTACCTACGTGACTTCACCGAAAAAAAACAAATAGTAGAAACGTATTACCCACGTTACCTGATTGCTGTAACAAGATGCTGGCTGGTTGGAAAATTGCCTGAAATGGATGGCTTTGCTGTGGTCCTATTGATTTGCTCGTGGAGTCGTGGGCCGTTTTGGTAATACTGTATGTGACTACAATGTTTGGCTGCGTTCTGATTGTTTACTGCGGTTGTGGACTCGCCCATTGGTTTTGCGGCTGGCAAGCCCGACAGATGATGGCTGCTGGTTCTTTAACCATGCCACCCATATTATTTTTTGTATCGGTTGGGCTGGCTGAAAAGTGTTCGAGACCCAATATGTTTGTCCGGTTAACCAACGAGCCAACTGACATGCAGTTTGGACATTTAGTCTGACGACATGTTTGGTAAGCGAATTATGTTTGACAATGTGGAATAATGCATGTCATTTTCTAAATCTTGCCCTGGGCTGTACTGTATTGCTTATGATCTGTGGTTGTCGAGCTGTGTCGTACACATAATAATGACACTTTGAAATGTAAAACACCATCTGGCTAGGATGTGAAGGTAGCATGGAAAGGACACCTTGTGATCAAATCACAATGAATACATCTGATCTCATCAGATCTCGGAAGCTAAGTAGATTCAGGCAGGATAGTGCTTGGATGGGCCACCATCATGCATACTGTACGATGCTCTCCCCCTTCAACTTGCATTAACCAGCGGGGTGAAGTATGGTCAAATTACTTCCATGACACAGCATGGATAAGCCCACATCTAGCAATGGATTTTTAAAAGGGATGTAGTACTGTACGTTGTAAAATAAAAATCAGTTTAGCTTTTATTTGATTAAGTTGGTTGAAATGTTGTATTACCCTTTATATGATGTCCTGCTTTATTGTGTCAAATTAGACTAGTTTTATTCCCACTGGATATCAAGATATCCTGTGAGATATATGTCAAGAATTGTGTATGTGAACTTAGGTAAATATATTTCACGTGAAATGGGCTGGACAATGAAATGTGGTAGTACTGGAATAAAAAAAAGGCTTTCACTAAATTGCAATATTCACTATGTTTTTTATCACCTTTTGCATTAATTAATCAGTGTTAATTTGTGCCTGTCTGAGATGTAGCTGGCTTGGTTAATGTCGTAGCAACCTGGTAACCTGTTAAATGTTATCTATTCTCCGATTATTAGCAGCGTTGCCTGGGTATGTGAAAATGAGCAAGGGAGGGAATGTGGTCCGTGCGTGTTGAAATACATTTACATTTGATAAAGAGTAAATTGGGACATTTGGTTGCATTTGTGTTTCTCCCCTCACCAAAAAAAATACGAAGTGTACGCAGTAGATGTTTTGGAGTGTCACTGCTGTGTCCACTGCCTAGCTACGGCAGTCATTGAAAACTATCCAATAAAAACATTACATTTGTTTTAAATTATTTCATTCCCAACCCTAGTAACACATTATTTTTTACATTCTAACGGGTTTTATTATATTGTGAGCCGCACAATATAATTTTCAATTAAGGGGTACATGTAGCTGCAAGAAAAAAAAACTATGATGAGGTTAGGTTGTGAATTCAGTGCCTTGTTTATACTCTGTAGTCATGTTTTTGTTGTCCTTCTCACGCACCTATTAGCACGGTTGACTACGTACAGTGCGATATAAATTCAACATACATGTCAAAAGGATTTATCCAACCTATTTATGCTGAAATTTTGACATTGGATTTGCATGAAATGATAGTGCATAGACTCTTTCCTTTTTAATTCCTTATGATTTATTTTCACATTCTTAATGTATGTTTTGTAATCTTTTGTATGTATGTGTAACGTTGTCAAATTGATTTACGTCTGTGGGTCCAATACAGGAAACCTTTCAAAGAAATTAAAATGTCACGTTTAGTATGTCAATGTTTGGCAAGCCCCAATGAATAAATGTAAGTTAGAGCCTTGTTTTTTAATTCACTGCTTGATGAGGGCTTCTCTACACTTTACCAAGTTGGTCAGTGTGGGTTGTTGAGGTGAGGTGTGGGTTGTTGAAGTGAGCATATGTAGAAGCATGCCTGAAGTTACTATATAGGTGATTACACATTTTTTAAAACATACTTAGACTAAATTAAAAGAAGATTGAAGTCAAAAGGTCATCACTGCCACTTTTATTCCTTTTGCAAGATTCTACTGCTTCTGTAAAGTTGAGACCTGACCTGCAAGGTTCTCATAATGTCCTACCAACTGGGTTTAGGTTTTTGTTTTGTCACCGATCTCTGGGTACCACTCCAAATCCAATGTTGGTAACCTACCTTCATCCTGCAGACGTGTCCCAACCATTGCAAGCCTTACTTCACGTCTTCCAAATTTATATTCTAAACTTCTAAGCCACTCCCTCCTATCCTGCCTTGAATGTTCTACAATTTATTGCATGGACTTGTATTTAATTCAGCTGACAGACCTTGTCCAATATGCTCTAAAATTTACAGCATCCTCAGGTAGAGGCTCTGTTTGAAAAAAGTCGTCTGTAAAACTACTGTCTGCTTCAGTAGAATTGTAACATGAATTGTTTTTCATAACAGTTTTAGTATGCGCTGTATGTGGTCATATTAACGCCAGGTTGGATGTAATAGAGTGACAAAATAAGTTAAATCTAATACCTTGCGTGCAGTTTTTTTCATGTTACCCGAGTGGTCAGCAAATGAATTGCATGCTGTTTGTACGCATATGGCTCCTGCATGTAACCATGGAATATGGAGTGGTTGGTGACGTTGGTTGCGGCAGAACTTTTGGCACTGAACAGTACTTTTTACTTCATGTATCATGCAGTATGCCCGCTGCGAAATAACCATTTCGTGTGCATATAAAACAATTGACCTCCGTGTTTCAGTATTTAAAAGTATAAGAAGGGCACTGCGTCTCCATTTTAAGCCAGCTGGCCACTTTTGGGTGTGGCATGTACACACCATTTGTATTTTCAGACTGCCTCGTTTTCAAAGAAAGGAAGAAGCATTTTTGCTTTAAAGCTGCCATTTAACTAAAAGCACCTGTAGTCTGCATTATTCAAGGTCACCTTAATGGTATAGCCATATGGTATGTTCCTCCGCCTTGACGACAAACTGAGTAAATTAAGCTACGTGCTTAATTAATATACTAAATGATTGAGGGCTTTAATCTTTTCGTCCTTGTTATGGATGTGGGTTTTGAAGTGCCATGCTTTGTTATGGATAATGCCAGTCACCACTTGGATACGTTTAAGGAGGCAGAGATATTAACTCAGAATGACTGAGACCCCTGAACAGGCACTCAGACCTGCTCAAGGGCACACGTAGCCACATTCAGACCCATGCGGTCGCTCGTGTAGATATACCGAAATACTAGGAAACACTAACATGGACACAACAAACGTTGACATTCTGGAACAAGCAAGGTGAAACATGCTGGGAAAACATATTTATGCTAAATGAGGCATTAACATTTGATGACAAGGTTTGGAATATCAGTTACATAACTCTGATGCAACATTGGACTCTTAATCTAATCTGTGTAGGATGTACTGGGTTTCCAGATTTATTTTGGTCAGATCAAAATTATTAAATAAATTGGCCACAATTTTCAGCTCTGGCCAAGGTCCGTTTATTGTTATGAGAATCATGTTCTCAATATGGATTTGTCAGCTAAGTTACTAATCACCGAATTGTGTGGTATTGGCTATTTCAATTCAGCAATGTCACATTGTCAGTGCTTGCTGAAGCATTTGGTGGTTCCATAGAGCATTAAAGCCGGAGACAAGCCCACGTCTAAATGATTGTAGTCGTTTGTACAACGTTTTTGGGGACAATGCAAATCGTGTACTCAATCTGTAATTTTCTGTTAAGATTTTGTGTGCTTTTCAACTCATAAAAGTAGTTTGTTTAGATTTGTTGAAAACACATTGGCCACAGCTACAGATGTCACGCAGTTAAATGGGCCTGGTTAACGGATTGTTTTCATTGGAAACAGAAGAGTGGTGTGATTGACTAACCTGGAGTCTCGAGACTGAACTCTCAGCTGGGACAAGGTACTTGTGACATCTCTCTGGTGGCACAGAGGCAATGAATAAAACTTAACAGTATGTGAAAGAATAGCAACGCACTGCTTTACATCTACTGAAGTAGATTATTGATAATAATGGAAATAAAATCTTTGATACTGTATCACATATTAGTTTTCTCTTTGACCATGGCAGCTTGTAGTATGAACAAAAAATTGCACTTTGCTTTACATGGTGAAATGTATTGCCACTAAGTATTACTCTAGTCTTCTACACCATGCATTTGCATTTGCCTTTACAAGACCTGTGAAACTATACCTGTGTGACATATCTTATATGTTTTGTGTAAATAAATGCAAACAACTATGAGAAAAGCCCTCAACTCACTCTTAACATTTTGATTTACAGGAAATTCCTTCACCCAAGTGATGAGCATTTCCCCGCTCGTTCGCCTCTCCTAAAGTCCTCATCGCACCATGGCAGAAGACGACAAAACGGCCATCTTGTCTGAGGATGAGCTGGATAAAAAACACCGCTACATTCTCACTGAGCCAGCCAATGGGGTCACGCCGAGTGCAACGGAGGAATCACAGGAGAACTCCTCTACAGACGACGAGCCCGACTGGATTGAGCGACGATGCATAAAGATTAACGATGACCTCCTCATCTCTAAGGCCTTCTATTTCTTCTTCTACTCGGCCTACGGTTCACTTTTTCCATTGCTGCCTGTCTATTACAAGCAATTGGGCATTAATGCCAGCCAGAGCGGACTACTGGTGGGAATTCGTTATTTCATTGAGTTCTGCAGCGCACCCCTGTGGGGGGCTTTGGCTGATCGCTTTCAAAAGGGGAAACACCTCTTACTTTTCTCCCTGCTTTGCTGGATTGGGTTTAGCTTGGGAATTGGCTTTGTACATCCGGCTACGCCACACTGTACCCTCAAAGAACTCCCCTTCGCTAATGGGACGACAACCACTATAACCACAACTTTACCAACATCTTCGTTCTCCATTCCACCTACAAATGCCACAGGGCATTTAAGAAGGAAGCGTGAATTGGCAACAACAAATAACGTTCAAGAATCCTTTGGATTAAAATCGACCCCTCCAACTAAGATTCCCTTTTTTTCCATTGGTTATGCGCATCCATTAAGCACGCGAGCACCTTCAACCACAATTGGCTTTGTGAGAAATGTTACATTATTCGGAGTGAATGGTAGTTCTTTACCGAACACCACTGGGCCTCAGACAACAGGAACCACACCAAAAACCACAGTCGATCCCACCAAGTTCATGATTGTATACGACAAATTGGAGCTTCGCACCATCTTCTTGCTGCTGCTGGTACTCGTGCTCATCGGAGAGTTCTTTAGCGCGCCCGCCATCACCATCGTGGACACAGTCACCCTGCTTTACCTGGGACGCAACCGTGACCGTTACGGGCGGCAGCGCATGTGGGGTTCACTTGGCTGGGGCGCGTGCATGCTATCAATTGGCCTCCTTATCGACTATACAGACGTGGATATGACTGGCTGGGTGGAGGCTCCATGCCTCCCCCCAGAGTACCACAACTACCAGATCGCCTTCATCGCATTTGGAGTCACCATGACAGTGGCCCTGGTGGTGGCAACGCAGTTTCACTTTGACTACAAAAGGTGCGTGTCTGACCTGAAATAACAAAGTTATGCTTATCTCTAAATAAAAAGTGTGGCTAATTATGCATATCACAACAAGTTTGAACACACCAGATGTTTAATAAACAAGTGAGATGTTTTTACTACAGGGAGACCTAGTCAAAGGCTGTTATTTCCACCATCACAATAGTACCCCTTGCGGGTTTGGGTGGGGGGTCAATCACGTTGCCTTTTCTTTGAAAATGGACAACAATTTCACATTCTTCTCATTCATATTAGTGTAAACTAACATTGATTGTATTCGCAATAAATATTCTGTTAAATGCGGAAAATATTCTGCAGATCATGCGCTAAATGATTTCCTTGCCAGTAATAATTATAATGGGTGGAGCAGTGATGCAGTGGTTACCACACTTCGCTCATGAACCCAGTGATGCCCTGGCCATGGTTCACACCAGTGACGAGTGGTCTCTGAACTGGTCCTGGCTGTTCCTCCACCCGTTCACTAACCCACACGAACCAGCATGCTCGAGTATGGCCAACCAACCTCCATGACTCACAACATGGGGAGGTTTTCATCCAAAGTATCTTTTAAAAGGGGATGAAAATGTGATACTTATGAAAAACATTTATATAATAATTAAAACAATAATAACTGTGGTGGAGATCCCAAGAATGATTGCTAGAAATGTTTTACCCCTGCAGGTTCTCGCGAGAGGCAATTGAGGAGACGGAGTCAATCGAGATCCCGCACGTGGAGCCTGTCAACAGCACCGCACGTGAACGCCGCACCAGCAGCAGCACCACCACAGTGTCAAGCACGTCTGCCATCACGGCAGCTGTGCCCATTCCCGTCGACAGCGGGGGCAAGCCCGAGCCCAAGAAGTACCGCTACGGGCACCTGGTGAAACTGCTGTGCAATGTGCGCTACGGCTCGGTGCTGTACGTCACGTGGTTCATGGGCTTTGGCTACGGGTTCGTCTTCACGTTCCTCTTCTGGCACCTGGGCGACCTGGGCGGTACCCCAACCCTCTTTGGGGTGTGCTCCGTGCTCGACCACCTCTCTGAGCTGACCGCCTACTTCTTCAGCCACCGCCTCATCGCCCTCATTGGGCACGTACGGTAATGCTCCTGTGCGTAGATTTTCGCGGTTGTACTGTACAGCTCTCCGATGCATTTTCAGGTAGTATCGCTTGTTGTTCGGCTTGATATGCGATCTCTTAAGTTTTTAACGAATATTTCAGCACATGAAGCAAAATCTCAGATATTGTGCCTAAACATCATGCCGAAAATCACGCGGTACAACCTGAACACACGCCGGAGAGTTGTATTCTGTAATATCTCTAATCTACAACCTTGCAGCATCGCCTGGGCCCCTAATAATTAACCCCCTTCTCCCACCTGAGACACGTCACATAGAAGGGTTCTTATTTATTAAGAGTACACTGGGTGATGCATTTATGTAACGCAGCTACACATAGCCGACCCTAACACACAACCCCATCGTCGGCGTCCAACTACGCAGCTGCCCGACTAGCGCAGTGACGGCGATGGTGAGAGCCTTGCAGGAGATCGTCCACGTGGTCGGACGACGTAGAGAGACGACGTAGTGAGATGATGGCGAGCAGCGACGCAGCGAGGACCCAGGACGCGCAACAGCACCGAACCTTTGGTTCGGGGTCCCCCTTATATACGCCCCGGCGTGGCCAAGCCCCGCCTCTGGCCACGCCCCCTTCTAGAACCCTCGAGCAGGTTCCCGAAGCTTCTCGACTGACTCCGCCTTTCACATTTACCCCAGATACGCCCTCCTCATAATTAGGCATTACGTAATGTGCCCATAACCGTGATTACCCCTTCAGGCCGACAGGTGGCACCCTGTCATTACACATGCAACATATAAATCAATACTATTAGAACATCAGAAATGTGAAGGCTACAAAGGCCCGTTGACCCAACCAGCATGTCTCATGTTTCATCGCGTTATAGAGGAAGCCCTTTGTAAGGTTAAGCCGGTGTCACGAGATATCTGACCTACCCACAACACGAGTCCCTTGGATCTACGAGTATCCTATAAATCAATACATTTCTAATAATAATTGATAGGCCTTTGTCAAGATTTGCCCAGACTTTGTTAGTCAATGGGATTGTTTAAACTTACTTCACTGTGCTAATCAGAGTAGGGTGGTGAAGGGGGGGGGGGACCAGGACCGGTCCAGATATCACTTTCCACTGATGTTCGCCAAAGCCAGGAATTGAACTCAGGTGGTTGGATTTAGAGTGCAGAGCGCTAATAACTGTGACAGCGGTCCCCCACAGGCAACGTTATGAATATAGAACAGTCTATTATCACATGTACTTGTTGATGCACGTATTGTCAGTGTAAGGATTGATTTGAAATCAATAATTGCATGGATCATTATACCTTTTAGTACTGGCTATCATTCCCTTGTCATGTTTGTTTTAATTGATGAATTTGTTTAGAAACGAAGGAGGAGTATGTTGAAACACAATGTCTTGTAGCCTGGGGAAGTTATCTCTGTCTGAAATAGAAACTTATATTTTTACCATTTTAATGCAGTTTAAGTGAAGAATCTGGTAAAAAAAAAGTTTGTCAGAGTATATAAAGTTGCTTGCTGTTTTTATTTATTTTACTTGTTCTTCTCAGCTGTCAACTTATTGAAAACATGCATCCCAATCTCTTGTCTCTTCTCTCAGTTTTTTTAAGTCAGTAACTATCATTAGCAGACAGAATATAATGAGAAAACAACCGGATATTTTGGGGGGCATAATCGATTTGTTTTTCTTTTACTTTGATTCCATGTTATATGCAGTTTAAGCAACCTTACGTTCTATGAACTACATTTTACCAAAGTATAAATCTAGATTTATATTTTCAAAGAAAGTCAAGATTTTTTGCTGCAGTATATTTAGACTCGCAGTAGCAGTGCATCTTGTCGGAGATGTTATTGAACATTTTACATTGCATTTGCAACACGCACAGAAGCACGCTCATTTATTCTATGAGCAGCTTTCTTGTTAAAGGACCATTGTCGGGTTTCATCGTGAGTATATGTGGTTTAAAGATGAGTCATTGTTACATGTCATGAAAGCTGTTGTATGGCTGATGCATTGAGAGCTTGTTTTCATTCATTGTTCATGGTGAAATTGGCATTCATTGCCTATGGCTGTCGGGGCAAATAGACCTTGTCCTGCACCTCACACATGGAATCGTAGCAAAATATAAAGTGCAACTTATTCCTTATTTTTTACTATAGGATAACACAAATTCAATACTTAACAATGATATAATAACTGACTTAAAGCTTTTGTGACTGCAGGAATTAATTTTCTTGGGTTTTTCGGTAAAGTCACATAGATAGGTTCAAAGAAAATAACCAAAAATAACAAAAAGCTACGACGTTTCGATCGCAACACAAGCAATCGTCATCTGGAGAAAAAATAGCGGGAAAGCTGCTGAGGCAGGATGTTTTAAAGTTTTCAAATGGGTGTAGCACAAGGGTCATAAGCGAAGTGGGCGGGGTTAGTGATGTTAATGTGATAAATTTGCATGTCAATGTAAGATCGGAGAGCTACCTCCACGATGACAAAGCTGCAGAGGTGGCCATTGTATTGAGAGATTAGGTTAAATGGCTTTACATTAACAGGTTAAATGTCTCACTAACACAGCCACCGTTGCTGGTTTTCCTCAATGTGGCGGTAGCTCTCCGAAGTAGGTCTGTGATATCAACATCCATGGTTCTTTCTCTTAACACTTTTGAGTCTCTGCTCGAGACCAAAATGGATTGTTTGTCTCATGGGGCGTTGCCAGTCATAGCACAATCAGGATAAAATTGGGGGGGAAAGTAAAAAAAAAGTGTGATTGCTACTTACCTCTCTCTTGCCTCTGTTCACTCAGAGTCCTGTATCTGGGGCTGGCCTGCAACACAGCACGATACCTCTACATCTCATACCTGGTCAACCCGTGGTATGTCTTGCCCATGGAGATCCTGCAGGGTAAGTGTGTCCTGTCAGAGTGCACGGTCAGCATGGAATTTGTTTGCATGTAAGGTGCTTTGAAAATGTCTCAGTTGCTCTCTTGTTTATTTGCAAATTACTATTCACTTGGGGAATTCCAATAATATTTCACAATAAAATCACTAGTAAGTATATTGTTGACCGGTAAATGTTAAATTAAATGTTAAATTGCAGCTTGTTGATGTGGACTCTAGAAACAATACAGCAGGGGGATATGTCCTTGGGGATGGCTTTTATTTGGCTCTTTTAGAGTTTGCTTTTTTAAAACTGTGTATTACCTTCTGTGACGTATGGATAAAAAAAATTGTCTAAATAAGCAAAATGGAACCAGACTGCAAATTGTGCAGGGAAGCATTGAGAGGTGCACGTTTGTGCTTACACTGGGATAAACGTGGATTAGAGAACATACGCAAGATAGAGACATCATCAGACAAGTATTGGGCTTGTGTGGGAAACGCCGCTCAAATATCTGGTGGCCGCTAGGTGAGATTAACGACACGGTGGTAGCCAGAGGGACCACTCAAGTGGGCATCAGCTGTGGAGATGGAGAAATCAAATTGGTGCATGTGCAGGTGCTAGTTGGATTACTGAATGCCAGGACTGAGAGAAGGCCACGGCTTAAGTAGGTGGGAGGCCTTTATTCCAGCAGTGGATTGATCATGGTTGACGATGAAAAGAGCCTGGTTTGGCCTTGAGACTGAGAATGCATTATTTAAGGTGAATAAAAACAAGCATGGTGTCGATCATGTGCACTCAATTTACATGAGACAGACAGCCTCAGATATTGTGCAGTCCACTGGGTGTGATTTGTTGATGCAGCTGCTAATAGGAAATGACATGGTGTACAGTGTACATTGCGCAGGGTGGTTCTCTGCCTGCAATGTGTGCGTCATTCAGTTTGCTTGTATTCATGCCATGAATAAAACACACCCACTCCTTGTTGTTCGTCATGCACCCAGTGGCTCATCGAGAGCACAGACAGGGAAGGAAACACTCCTTTGAGAAATAGTGCAAATACGATTAAAATTCAATGTTGTGGGAGAAGTACATTGCATGCAGATTTTGACATCTTTACAGTGATTTGTTCTGTGCTTGGAGTAGTAGCTCAGTGGTTAGCACACTGGGCTATGAGCTCTGCGACCCGAGTTGAAATTGAGGCAATGTCTTTACATCAGTGGTGAATGATATCTGAACTGGTCCTGGAACTCTTCTTCATCAATCCACAGTGACCAGCGTGGTGGTCAAGAAAATCCAGAAGTGGATTGACTAAGAGCTCAATGCTATGTTGTGTTGTGCTGTGTTAATCCCATTCGCTGTACATATACGTGAGAGTTTATTCACGATTTCGTAAAGTGGCATTTTGTGACTATTCGCTGGCAAGTTTCTCAAGAAGGAATTTTCAGTGTTCAGTGGAAGCCATCATCAATTTAGGACATGGCAGTTAGCCAAGCTATGAAAGATGAATAAGTTTTTTAATCTTACAAAAAATAAAGCGGTTGTTTTTCACATTAACAGATTGTTAGCTAAAGAGAACAGTGCTGACAGCAAATGAAAGCGCCTGCCTACATTTATGGTGAAATCAGATGAGCTGATAGTGCACAAGTTAATCTTTCCCCATTTAGGATATATATAGTCCTGAGAGAAAGCCACCTGTCCTGAATGGTGTCTTTGACAGTGACATGCAGGCGTTTTGCACTTACATTCACGCGTGTGTTTGCCAGCCGCGTGTGTACGCTTAACGGCCGTGTTTGCGTGTGTCCAGGTGTGACGCACGCGGCCATTTGGGCGGCCTGCATCTCTTACCTTAGTGCGGCGGTGCCACCCTCGCTGCGAACATCGGCACAGGGCATCCTGCAGGGCCTGCACCTGGGTCTCGGCCGAGGCTGTGGGGCCATGCTCGGCGGGGTCATGGTCAACTACTTTGGTACTCACCAACTCGCCGCTGATGATCAGAGAAAACAGCACGTCCTTATGCTGCTAACTCAAGTTTTAATTCTCTGTCTTGTTTTATTTTTGCTCGTGTTACTGGAATAATTATAGTAGATGTGTTTACAATGAGAACTAACATTTTACTGTTTTTATGGCAGCATTCTGCAATGAGTAGCAATTTTATTTTAGATCTTCAGGTAAATCCATTATCATGTCAAAGTGTCTCCATGCTTGAACTTTTGGGTGGGGTGGTACTCCCTGCCACTGGTGACCCTGAGGCAGTAGCAAATATTCCACGTGACTAATTTTATTGTGGGGGGTATACAGTCTCTTCACACACCACGCACTGTTGACATTTCCACAGTGAGCTGTAGTTTGAGCGACCCACCATATCGTTGATTGCTCATGTGCTGCAAATATGGGCTAACTATCTTACTTACTGACAACCACATAGAGCTCGAACATGGGTGCACTGAGTGTATTGGTTCAATGGAAATACGATTATCATCAGCAACTTAATCTTGAATAATTGCTCTTAATTAGCCATACGGAATCAGCATAATCAGGCATGATTAATCCACTGCTTGATGAGGGCCTCCTAAAGTTTTCATTTATTACGGTTCTTGCACCTAAACATGAGCTGATTTCATCACTGTACAGGATAAATGTTCTCTTGGGCATGTTCTCTCCTTTGACTGCCACTTCAACATTGGTCTTCGCCACCAGCCATCGCCACTGCTAACCATGTGTCATGTCCAAGCTGACATGACTTAAGCCAGGCTATGTTATTGTAATATGCATTTTTATTGGGTTTGGGGAAATTAATGCACTCGTCTTACGTCGCTGCTATTTTAATGTGGGGCTTTAAAGGGGAATCGTGAGAGTGCTACAGAGCAGTGGCGTGGCCATGGGTGATGATTGCATGGTGCGTGTCCACGCGTGCAGGGGCTGCGGAGACATTCCGTGGGATCGGCATGGCCTCCCTCGTGACGCTGCTTCTCTTTGCCTTCATCCAATGGCTTCTTGGGCCTGAGGAACTTCAAAGTGAGTGCCGAACTTAGTTTGATGCAGCTGGCTTTGATGTGTACCCAGAACTGTTGTTCCAAAATGTAATGCTCCAAAATGTAATGCTCCAAAATATGTACTTTGTTGGTTTTCTGGTTGTGTTTTATAGCTCTTTGATGTGTTTACGGGGCGTACCACGTGTTTGACGTGATGTCCAACTTTTCAATTCAATGCTGAATTCAGTCCCAGAAGAAGCTCCCAGCATTTGGAGCAGAATGTCAGACATTGTGCTGAAGGACATACTGTTCAAGCTGAAAACATGTGTGAAAACCTCCAAAATTGTATTTGTTATTTTAACAACTAAGATATATGTAGCCAATGTAATCGAAAAAACCCAGCTGCTATAGCACAACGAGAATATACTAAGGTATTATTTTATCTCCTTTATGATGCAGCGACGACGACGCTCGTAGCTCAGCCAGATCCCCCAGGGGCGCCGATCGCCACCATTCAAGTGCTGGTATCGCACGAGGAGTCTGATGGCCAGCGTGAGCGGCGTCCGCTGCGAAGCCGCAAAACCAAACACCAGGAGGAGCAGGAGGACCCGGGACGGCCGGCATGGGGAGTGGGAAACTCCTCGCCATGGGTGTCCCTCACCTACACACTAATGCAGCTCAAGGAAGCTCTCAAACTGAGGAGGGAGCAGAAGATGATGAAGGCAGCAGCAGCTGCGCAGGTAATAAAACCGTTACCGCCGAGCACATGAGCATCATGTGTGTGTGGTTTGTTGGCTCGCTTGGCATCTGCATTCGCAGTCAACCCAAAAACGTTGCATTTCTGTATTTTGCATATTATGAGCCAATATGATATGTAAGTTGATAAAGCTTTTAACATTATTAAATAGTGACAACTGATATTGGCGTTTCTCTTAATGCATTTTTAAAATGACAATTCCATTTGTGATTCTTTTAAAGCTACTTAATTTACACTTGATCGTGTTTTAGGGTAAATACGAAATTGGAGGGGGGGGGGGGGGCCTGGGGCACCAGTGGTTTTGATAAGGTTGAGAACCCCTGCCATGAACGAGTAGTCGTTTGTTTAGTGTATACTGAGCAAATACAAGTTATAATCCTTTCTATCAGCAGCAGGCACAGCCTGGAGAGAAAAACCAACCATCCTCGGGTTACCAAGCAGGCGGCGGGCATCATCCCACGGAGACGAAGCCAGAGGGGCCAACATCGGAACACGGGCATCCAGATGGGCAACAGGAGAAGAAGCCAGCCGATGGCACTGCGACATCCGTACCCACCGAGCCAGGCCACGTGCCATCTGAAGACGAACCAGGGTGGCAGTGAGCGCAGCAGCCGGGAAAGAACGTTGGTGATGAGAAGAAAGGAAGGGTTTAGCAATGGTGGTGAGTGGGTGTGCTTGCTTTTTCTCCCCCACCCACCCCAACAATCCTCATAGTTGATACCTGTTGGCTCAAGCACTGCCTGCAAACAAAACCTGTTTTTGTGTTCTCTGGATGCGTCTCAGAAAGACATCGGGTAGCTTTTGTCTTTCTCACCTGCAGCTGGTTGTAATGAAGACAGTCAGATTGGAAATGTTCAGTGTAAGAATAGGTCATTGGATTGGTTTTACAGTTAGGAAAGTGGTTTGAATGCTGCTGTACCTGTTTAACTCTCTGAAGGCTTTGTAGATATTCTTAAGTGTAGTTTACTGTATACATTTTATTCTGTGTCAAACTGTCCAATAGCATAACCAGAATTGTATTACATTTGCTGAAAGTAAGATCTCGTGTAAATCTGGACATTTCCATAAATATGGCCATATGAAAAACTCAAACTCATAGTCCATCTCTCTTATCAGGTACACTGAAGGCCTCTGGAAGTGTTTTTAAGAGTGTCATGGTGCAGACTTGAGAAGGCATACGGCATTAGAGTATTTTACTGTTGTTCTGTGTTCAGTGTTGAAGCATTCACATAGTTTGTGCTTGCCATTATCATCAACTAATATACGAATATAAACAGTTAAGGTCCCCAAGCTTGCTGCAGATGTTTTCCCCTGGAAACCCAACGCTTGGTTCATATTTTACATTAAACACATAAATTGCAGTTCTTGTATAATCTAAGGCATTCAAAGCCCCCTAACTAAATGCTTGCACGTTTTAAACTTTCTGAATGTTATGGATTTTATTTTAATGTACCAAAGGTTAGCGTGTAGTTAATGTGATTGCAAATTTCATATTAAATCCTGTCATTGATTTGGCTCAAATTCCAATAAAGTTACAGTCCAGTGAGAAATACAATTGCGCAAATGGCTTGGATGCTTAGCTGCAATTTAATCTCAGGCCCCCTTTTTGAGCACATTTATTTATGAAACTGCCTTACTTTCTACTAATATTCTGAGTTAAATGAAAAATTATCATCCCTATGATTTGTAAAATATGACTCTTACTTTAAATCCAGAACGATAAAGCAGGTCAGTATCTTGCAGTCAGATTTGAGGATGAGCAGTCTTAACACTTGGGTCTATGGATTTAACGCGCATTTGTGCAGTTTTTATTTTATTTGGTAAACTTTCACTATCCATTATTTAAAGAGGTAGCAGTTGTTGAAGCACTCATGCTAGGTAGAATGAAAGATGGTGCTTTATATACGGTATGTGTTTGTGTGTGGTTTTTCATTTTCATTGGCTTCTCATACTCATTTGGTGGAACTCATTGTAATGGGATTAGTAGCCAAGGGCACACATTCTTGCAGAGAATTTCTGTGGACCAGGACTTAATTTCACGAGTTGCCATGAATACCATGCTTGCAGTGAGATTGTTTACTCATGTCTCCGGGAACAAAATTGGACCTATTTAAAATATACAAAGCATTGAAATTGTAGTTTAGTTTTTCCCTATTGGCTGCACCTAATGTGCAAAACGAAAGTTGTTTGCTATGTTTTGTGAATCAAACTGAGTTATGAAAACCAGAGGTGGTAGCAAGCTTGGCTTGTTAAGTTGACTTTCTGCCTGCGCCTGTGTATACACAAATGGAATACACTGTATCCCATTACTGTCCCATATTCCTCTTCACGTATCAGGGAATTAGTGACAGGCTCGTATTTTGTTACCCTCTAGAGGTGTGGTGATGCACCCGACTAATTGAATACTGCAATAAGATGTGACAATGTGTATTGAATCTGATGTTTAAGAATATTATTTTAAATACCGAAACCTTGTCATAAAGAGTTCACATCGCCGGCCTACAGCCCCTTGTGGCTTCAGCATGAGCCACGTTATCAGAATATTAATTAATTAAATTGCGAAAAGCTTATAAACATTTGTACCTTAACTACCCTCCTATTTTACTGTACAAATTTGGCCAAAGGGCATGTTCAAACCTCTCGAAAAGGCTTCGTTCTTGCAGTTCAACTTTCAAGAAGGCAATCGGGCAGGATGTTCAAACAGCTGTACACAAAAGGGACTCAATTCTTGACTAAATGTTATTTATCTTCAACGATTTGGAGGAAAGGGAGGCTTAATTTAGGGTTTACATTGCATGCACGTGTGTGTGTTTTATGGGACCATTTTAGGATTGAGTGTGACTTGGAAAAATTCACAAAAATGTGTGTTTACAGAGTTTTATTTACAGGAGATTCATATTTTGGCACGTGTCTTAAAGAGAGAAGATAGTGTTTTTCCCACTCATGCTGAATTTATGTTTCTTGATGCACGCATACAGTAGTTTTATATTGTTATTCACACAGACATCCGATAGGATGTGTCCAGGATTTATTAACTTGACCGAATGTTATTCAAGCCCAAAGTTTGGTATCATTTCTTGTGATTGGCCAATGTAAAATGCGCACAATATTCTATAATTACTTTCAACTTTCCCCACACTAAGCCAGATATGCCATGAAAATGTTGCAAGGCTCATAGATAATGTATTACCAATACTTAATCCCAATGAGACTACATTCCTCTGTTTATAGTTATGTTTTCTTTAGAGGATCCATGAGGATCGTTTATAAATTGAGGGTGCAGTCTGCACACTCTTTTCTATTATGCAACATTAAATGTCATTGTGAAAATCATCGCTGGTTTTCTTACTGCAGTGCTCACAGTTTTGAATGTTAATGTTACACTGGGATATATTATTTTAATTTGATAATTTAATCTTTGCATATTTCTACCTAAAACACTTTTAATAAGCAACTTTAAATACTGGTGACTTACTCGAGTTTCATTAGAGTTCAACTTTGGCCTCTCATTATCCAACGTGCGTTTTGGACTGTTTACCGAATTAAAGTGGCATTCAGGTTAATTTTTGGAAATGGATTGTTTTATGTGTTTTTGTGGAGTTTAAAAACACGGTACTAAAAAGTTAAAGTATCGAGTTGGGTTTATGTATTATTTATAGTGTAAATTGTTTGCTGTGTGAGAATCAAACTCGCATTACAGATTGTTGAGCATGAATGAGTGAAGTGCCAGCGCACCTAGCGTCATTGAGTTCAGCGTTTACTTTGGCATACACTTTTTAAAGTGCATCCTTTACGGATTTTCACGCTTTTTTCTCAGATTCACCATTTCAACAACTGCAACACCCCAGCGTGCTGCATGTCACTCGTTATATGTATGTATACTTTCACGTTCAGCTAAAAACAAAGCCTGATATTCACAACGTCCGTTGTACCGTGGAACAGGGTTAAGATGAAGGTCCGCTATATGCCCCTCGTGCAGCGAGGGTTGCTTCTTGACAATGGACTCCTCAGAATTGAAAGCTTTTTTTGCAGATGCACTTTTAAGTTTTCCAGTGCCTTCATCCATGTTTGTGGACGAAGTTTGTGTACATTTTATTTTTCGTGTGGTTGGGCTGCTGGTCGTAGTGTGCTTTGTAAATGATACAGCGTGAGTAGAAATCCACATTGAATATTAATAATTGATATACCAAACAATTGCACTGTATAGTACAGTCGGGAAATGTTTTGCAGAATTGCTAGGAAAGAGGGTAATGTATTTTTGTGTCGAGGAACTTTTGCATTATTAAACGTCCATGTAATGCTTGATGTATGGCAACTATTAGACACCGAAACCTGCTTTGAATGTACACCGCTCAATGTCCCTTAAATATCTACTCAACAAGGTGGTGCAAATGACACACAACACCGTGCACTCAATGGGCTTGATACTGCGTGGGAGTACCGTGCCTGACGCCATTTGCCTCTTCACATTTGAATCTCAATGTCGAGTCTCTTGCCACTGGCCAAATTGCAAATGTGGCCTGCACAAAATCATTTTAAATGTCATGCACATGCATTGAGGCTTTGCGGATTGTGAATTCTCAAATATCTCTTAAGTTGCGTAGACAGTAATTAATATGCTCCAGCAGAGCAATATAAAGGGAAAAAAACGTAACTATCCTAAATGTGCAGCACGTCACACTTTTGCAATTGGCACTTAAGCATGGATTGATACTGGATACAACCAAAGATTTGAATTGTGTTTGTCATAACGGAAGCAGTGGCATAAGTTCAGACTAAATGTATATGCTACCTATGGACTATAAATTGTCATGTCACATTGTTAAGATGCATACCTGTAAGGTTTAATGTGGTTCGTGTTGTTATTGGTTTAACATGTTGGTTCAGTGACATTGGGGTGTACTAGAATTAGTAGGTCGTTTAAGAATGTGTAACTACTGTATGTGATGGTGTGAGCACTCCACAAGCTGGTAAGTGGTGGACTTTGCAGTTAATCAAATGGCAGGCAGCTGAACAATCCGTGTAAAGGGAACACTGCGAATACAACGTATAAGCATTCAACAAGGCAGTGTTGGCATGCTCAGAGTTACTCAGCCAAGACACATTTAAAGCACGCGAATGGTGGTCATGACCATCTTTTTATTTTACTCATGCCAAAGTCCACCCGTGCGCGTGGCCTTAATCGATCCGAAGCTGTGTCAGTGTAAGGAGAAAAAAAATGTGATATTTTTAGACTTCAGACACAAACCCACGCGTTCAACTTCCAATCGCTCTGCATGGACCCACGTGTATTCAATCACACACCTGAAGCCGTTTAAATGAGCGGTGGAGGGGGGGTAATGACATCTGACGTATGGTTACCAATCTGTCGTGCAGTAAACGTTAAAACGCGTTCGTGTAATGGTTATAACCACCAATTTTAAGTGTGCTTTATAAGCGAGTCATTCCACTTGTGGCGCTAATTGTCGCTCAGCCGTCAAAACAATTATTCTGCCTTCTATGTGCATATATCGGTTTCGTGACTGTACAGCTTACGATGTAAAAAAAAAACATTGTGGTTACGCGATGATAAAAAGGAATAAAAGTATATATCTATTGCAACATTCGTGCGATCGTTTTAATTTCTTTTTTTTTGGGGCCCTAATCTTAACAGTCGGTGTGGGGTTGTATGGGCACACACTTCATCGGGAGCAGCATCTCGTGGTGACGGACGTGGTCGTGTTGTGGTCCTACGCTGCCCCCGTGTGGATGATGTCCACGTGGGGGAAGCACGTGTTCCGGTTGAATACAATGCAGGGGTTTTTGGGGTTATATTTCGTAAATATATAAATGTGTCGTTAAACCCGCCACCACCCGACACAGCCAATTCGTAAGGATTGTCACGTAAACAGAACATGCAAATTCGTTACTAGTACAGCAAACCCCGGTGTGTGGAAGAGCCAAGCCACAACATTTACAATCTTGAGTTGGACGTTTCGCCAGTAATTACAACCAGCTTCATCAGGCGACAGCCAGATTTGTGGAGAAGTCCACCTGTTTCGTTCCTTTAATAGAGGCGTAGATGTTGCCTTATTCTAACATTTATTCGCAGGCCTTGCAAGCAGTGGGGGGTTCTTTGACCACACTTCATCTAATGGTCAGTGGGACACGGCAGTTGAAATACAACCTCGCCATAATTATTGGGTGACCGCATAAATAACATTCGTTTTCAGGAATGAACAATAATATAATCCGTTCCACCCCCGTTATAGCAACGCAGTTTCATTGTCCAATGTTTCCAGCCTGCACGTACTTGTGTGGTGGGTAATTGTAAGGCATAATACGCCGTCACCACTACCCCACCGGAAATATGTAGCTCCAGCCATGGGCCAACAGGGGGCAATAGCGGGTCCGTCCTGTACCGAGTTGGGCTGTTGGGCCAGGCAATCTGGAGAGCAGTTCGGGACCGGTGGTGGACACCCCAGGCCCCCCAGTGGGGGGCTGGGGGAATGCGCAACAATCGAAGTCCCTCCAGAACAGTGGTGGGGGGAACGTTTTTTTCTGCCAAAGGCCATTTGGATATTTACAACAAATCATTCGCGGGCCATACAAAATTACCTACTTAAAAATGTGCCTGTTATATTTGGTCAAACATTTCATTAACTCACCCCTAATGCGATGGCTGGAACTGCTTCTCTTTGGTGAGGCGTGTGATGTTAGCTGGTATTGATGATGTTGCTGCTACTCGCAACTGCTTTTACAGGTTTGCTCCGAGTCCCGCCCGCGGTTGCCTTGGCAGGGCCACACCAATTGATTTCGTGGGCCTCATACGGCCCGCGGGCCGGACGTGCCCCACCCCTGTTCCAGAAGGTTCCAGAGAGTGGGCGTGGCCAGGGGCGGATTTACCCTGGGAGCCCTATAAAAGCCGGACCCCAGAGCGACTCCGGCAGTCGGCGTCAAGTTCAAGTTTGTTTGGTATAGCCCTGTGAGCCATGCGGCTCTTGAATCGGGTGCAACCGCAACAAACAAAAAACATGAACAAGAAAACATCTGAAAGTGAATATGTGACTAAGTGCAAACAGAAAATCCAAGAAAAGACAGCAAAATATTGCAGAAAAAACACCGTACACCAAGGCTGTGTGCTAAAATCTCAGTGGGATTCAAGTCAAGCCGAAGAGCTCGCCTGAAGACGAGGACCCTGAAGACCCCCAGACCCGACGACGTCCTTATCAGGGCCGGGTCTGAGTGGGCCAGAGACCCAAGGACCTTGGCTGGGTCGGGTCAGCCTCCCCTAGGTCCCGTTAGCCGGAGGGCTGAGATTAGGTGGTCCCAGTGACTTGGGCACGTTAGTCCGGAGGCTATAACCTCAGGTCGTCGGGTAGAAGGGGCCCATTACCCCTTCGCGTTAGGGACCCCGTGTGTTCACGTTATTGTTAAATGAATACGTGTTGCCTCCTAAGAAGACTCCGTCTCCATACATACCCACTACACTTGTGTGTCTGGTGGGGTTTCTTGTCAGCTACAGAAAGTGCTTGCATTTGTTAGTGTTCCATTTTTTAAAAGGTATCGATCCCCCTCGTATAGACTTTAGCTTATCCCGCATGTCATCAGGTGTTCCTTCAAATCCCATAAATGTTATCGACTGTACTGCATTAACCGGTCAAACGGTTAAGCGCAAGGGCAAGCGACATTCGAACAAGTTGCGAGTTCGAATACTGACTGGGGGGTTGGCTCAGCCCATCACCCCTTCGGGGTCGATAAAATTGCTACCGCTTTGCGGGGAAATCAAGTGGTTGTCCCCTATATAGAGACTCGCCCATGCCATTATAATAGAAATATCACCAGTAAACTAGTTGTCTTCTTCTTCCATATGGCATTGTGAAAAGCAACAGCTTTTATTTTTTCTTAATGTTGTAATTACTGGCAAAACGTCATACTCGGAACGTAAATGTTGTGGCTTTGATCTCCAACACACCGGTGTGCTGTACTCCGTGTTGTGGAATAGTTGATGACGTCTTGTCACCCTGGGATATATAAGCTCGGACCGGTGACGTGAAGGGGGTCGTCGCAAAGGGCCAGGAACGGGAGAGAGTTAGGAAGTCGGGAGCCAGGGTAGGGTGGCTACTTCACCCGGCCAACCGAGTTGGATGACCCCTCGGTCGGTGCTGAGGGAAGAGCACGAATAGCCTGGGGGCAGCTAGGGACATCCCAGTATCCTTTCCCCTGGGGAGATATTAAGGTTGTCAACTGTTAGGCGTAAGCCTTGAATAAGTTACCGGCATTCGCCCTTAATAAACCTTGGCATCCGCCCTTACTCAAGAACTGTGTCAGCGTCGTCTGTTGCACCTCAGCACTAGTAACGAATTGGCATGTTCTATTTACGTGACAAACCGAATTGGCTGTCTCGGGTGATGGCGGGTTTAACGACACATTTATGCGATCTAACACAAAAAAACTGTATTATGAAGTCCCTGTAAAGGTCTCAGTTTTACCTTGAATAACCATATCATTAGCTCGAAGGAATCCACACTACCATAGACTACATGCAATGCCTCAACTTTCAGTGTCGTAAAACAGAAAAGTAGCTAAACATTTACAATTCTAAGCTTGTAAAAACCATTACAGTGTAATCTTGAATTAATGAATGCATCGTGCCGTTTGTAAGAATTCACCCGTTACAAACGGTATTCTCACAAACATGCAAAACCATATATTTAGTGCAAAAGGAACCGGCAAAATTGTATTTCTTGTATTCATACGTTGGAAAATTGTGATGACAACTTCCAAATTATCGCTCGTCTATATTCGAAAAGAAACATTGTTTGCACCAATCTATTGCTGTTGTAAAATGCACAATGAAGAGCAGGCAAAACTGCATAACCGTGAAGTCATTCGAGCGACCTCATAGGTAGGTGTGTAACAGTACAGGAGCTTTAAAAACAAACCAACATTGTCTACATGTGATCACACCAAGACCAACAGTCATTGAACCACGTTTTTAATTTGTATTCACTGTAACAAAGTAGCGGGAGAAGTGGTTTGTGTACTGCACTATGAACCTGGTGAGTGCTATCTCAGCCTTGTGCAGTGTGAAATATGGTCAACCAACCCCACGGCCAGACACGGGAAGCCATCACTCAGTTGCGTCTTTACAAAGGGCTGTAAAAATTACAAAGTAAAACATTGTTCGATGATATTGATCGATTATCACCTCAAACCAAACACAAAAAAAGGCGAACAGGGAATTAATTGTGCTCAGGAAGTGAAATTTCAGAAGAGCTCTATATTTTCCACATCAAAGTTGATCAGTTTTGTGATATTAAGGCAATGCATACTAACTAAAAAATATATATTTTAACTACATATTTATAGAAAACTACTCACTTTAGTTATTTTGTGGTTTTAAAATGCCACCAAACAGTATACAGTAGCTTACATTTTTATCATAAACACTTGTCACAAAATAACTTATCATTTTGAGCTCACAGCCACTTTGAACGTAACATCTGGAAGTATAATATTCAAAGGAAGCCTCCTTTTTCATAAGCCGAGTATGTAAACAATGGCAAGGCAGTCTCAGGTCTACTGCTACTTACATATAAACACAGTGCCAAGTCAGTGAAGACGCGTGCATATAATTTTAGACAGGTCGAACAAAAAATTACCTGTTCATTGGTTTATAAATCGACATTCAATGCTGATCAGTGATACCGATCCATCCCTGCAATATGGATTTGACTTTTTTGGCCATTCCCTATTATAACCACCACTCCCATCTGTCACAAAGGGTTTCCTGCTGCTCCATTACTCTGCCTAGCTTTGCCAGGCCCCATTCCTAAACAACTATAGTTTCGTTGACCTATTATTAATTTGAAAGTTAGCCTCATGTACACTAATAGTGGTCGTGGTAGTCGTATAATATATCTGAATGTTGCAGTGAAGTCCAAAAAAATAGATTTTCATCAACATGCAATGGAGGAAAAAGGGTCAAATGTCCACTCAACAAAGTACACAAATCAGGCGTGCACATTTAGACAACTCGGCAAGCAATTATATTACCAGCAAGGTTGCCCCCCTTATCTCATCCATGCGACATGTAACAAAACATATATACCCTAAAAAAAGTGTTTGTTTTACAATCCACACCGTCAGGCATAATGTATGGCTGTAGGGTTTTAAAACTTGCTTTTGCTCTACCTGATTTGTAGTTTTTTTGCATTTGTAACTTAGAAAAATTAACAATCTGCAATGACATGCATGTTTGGGTGAATTTGAATAACCTGGCACAGTTGTGTTCAAAAGTGTGTGCCTGTGAAATAAACCACACAATGCACTACTCCTGCAGAAGAATTTACTGGAGTTGCCAATTACATGCACTTTTGACAAATATTTGACAGGTTTGTGGAGAGACCCTGATATCTCAAAGGTGCAATGAAGTAATGTTAGCATTTTTCAAACTAAATTCAACAGCAACTCACAGAGTGCATTGACTCGCAGGAAAAAGTGACAAGTTCTTATGATAAATTGTTAAAGGGGAATGTAAAAAGTATTGCTCTTTAAAATTAAAGCATTTTTCTAAATGGCAAGTCATATAAATTATTTTCTTTTCCAACATTTCCTATACATTTCAAGAAATCTCATTCCAAAAGTTTCATATTTGCAAATTAATTCTGAAACCCCATAAATACTTGCATATTTAAAAGCAGCAGAATAATTAAGTCAGTGCGAGTATTTTTTTTTACAACATTAATGTTTGCCTGAGATCAAACTACTCACTGCGCTTCACAAGCAAGCTCAGTAGTGAACCCATTACCTCAAATATCCCTTGCACAGAGGTGTTTTAAAATTACTAAACGTTTATAACGATTGAACTCTAATTTTAAATAGTTGTATAACTATGGCTGGTAAAATATATATTTTAAAATATTCACTCATATAACCAACTAAAAACAAGGCATATTGCATATTTCTTTTAAAAAATTGCTTGCACAGAAGAGTTTGCAGCACGTGTGTGAATGCCTGTATAGGTGTCTACTTGAATGCTTGTTATATAAGTATGCAAATATAGTAATGATGACCCTCCTGAAAAAAAACAGCCTTGAGACTGTGCGAAGCTTTTGTGGGTAAACAAGAGTAAATTAAATAAAACAATAATGCTGGCATATCGACGCACGTGTGGTCACACGGATCACGGTTTACATCGACATCGTGTTGCTCTTGTATATGGCAGCGTCAACACCCCTGCAGTTGTTCAGTTGGTCGTGTCTACGTGGACGAAGAGAGAGGATGGAGCCAGGCTGGTGCCGTCGTGAGATAGCAGAGGGACTTGCCTGTAGCCTGCAACAACACGAGATGATAAACAGCAACACAGAACTAATTGACCGGTCCATATCACTGCACAGAGAATCAGGCAATTGGCTATCTTCAGCAGGGCGGGGTGGCTTCACGTCAAGCGTGACAGCACAGATGTCGGCAATGCTGGAAATGTTTTTGAACCTCGTTTGCAAACACCAGAAGGTTATTCCTGTTCTTCCTCTTTGCTTGAGATAATGAAGCAAGAAACAATGCAGAGCAGATACAATTCAAGGGCTTGTCAAAACGGACCAGGTTGTGCAAATTCCGGGTTTGCATCACTCACGAGATGTTTAGCCATCCCTGTGAGCCTGTTATGCTCACTATAAAACGAGCGATGTCTGCCAAATTACAAAAATATTTTAAATACTGAACCAAATAATATAATTACTGTCAGTAAGGAAAAACAACTTTATAAAATATATAACACAAATCCACAATACCATCGATAATAATCAAGGCCAAACCATATGTAAGGACAACACCCAGACACCAATTTTTTTTTTACAACATGCAAATGTGTCTCGACAGCTCCACCAAACACACGTTCACTATGTTAGACCTTGGGTGTTATCCACGTATTCACCAATGTTAATTTTCATACAGCTTGCAGGAAAAACACCACAATGTCTCCATTACCAACAAAGGAGAAATTTGCCAAGACAATGTACTTTGCCCAAGATGTGAATCTGACCCTCTGTTTTAACGTTCCACGCGAGGTAGAAGATTCATTCACTATTTTACTTATTATGCTTGTTTACCCGGCAAAGCCTCACGACTCTTTTTCAGGAGGATCCTGCTATTTTTTTTACAACAGGGGGCGACGATTGCTATGCATTTCCCAATTAAGTAACTTAATTTGAATGATGACGCTGGCACAGAGTGGTCCAATTTTGTTGAAATGACATCAGGGATCTTTAACATCCAATGTGGAGCAGACATGCACGTTTCATGGTTAATACACCCGTAAAATTAACCAGGGCAACCTGTCTAATTTCAACCGCGCAACCTCTGAAACGAGCGGCGAACAGGTTACCGCTGATCCACATCACCCCACCCCAAGATGTGGCATTTCCCCCCCTCCTGGTCCAACCCACCCACACCCTCCGAGGCACACCTGTTTTCATGCTACTCATGGGCAGCGTGTACTGGCCCAAAAAGTCATTGCGTGACGCCTTGTCGTAGTCCTCCACAACGAAGCGCACGAGGGCCAGCTCAGGCACTGTCACGCGGAACGTGAGCGTTTTGTCCCAGCGCGGGTTAAACCCTGAATGGAGAAACAGAGAGTGGCGATGACTTTTCCGTTTAAACCAGCAAATGAAGAAGTCCTCTGGGGTGGCGCTGTAAGAAAAGGGATGTAGAAAAGTCATGAAGAACTTTTTATGTTTTCCACCTCGTCATGGCTCTGATTACTATGCAGTCAGCAAATCTTAGATGGTTAATATTCTCTCCATTGATATTCATGCCTTTGATTCTACAATTAAGTTTTCACAAAACATGACGGTCAATGTGGGGAAACCGTCATCCAGCAGTAGGTAGATAATGACTCACTCAGTTCCATTAAACACACTCCCATTACATCCGCTTTATTAGAACTACAACTCCCAGAGATATATATCTCGATGAAGCACAGTATTCCATCATTCACACACACGAACCGTTGTTGTCGATGTGGTAGGTTTGCTGGTGGTTGTTGTCCTGTGGAACGCCATAAACCTCCACCCTCACCAGTGGATCCATAATCGAGCCCTTATTGCTGGCCTCCAATTTAGGCAGCTGCTGCCCACTGATGACCTTGAAGCGGGAATTAAATGAGCAGAGTTACATTGCATTGTTGTTCACTGTGATAACTTCACTCGTGGTTGTATTTGATGTATACCCCTGTCTGTGTACATATGAGTGCAATAATCAACAGAAATACATTTTATGTTCAGCAACTTAATTTTACCAAGAGCTGTATTTTAAAACTTTTCTTACAGGAAATGTATAACATTTAATGTTCATTTATATTTGTGCAGTTTTCGATTTCTTCTGCAATGTGGTTGAATTGTCTTGAGCTGTTTTTGCTCAAATTTCTGTTTCCTTCATTGTTGTACTTTGTGTTTACTTCTATTGATTTTGTTATTTGGTTAAACAGGTCACACTTGCAACTGAGACCCATCTTTGTCTCTTGAGTTCTCACCTTGTTAAGCAAATTCATCTTCAACCTTGAAACACCCTGTAACTACAGAGAACACGTGTTCCGTGACTGGTGCCCCCACCTTGATGGAGAGGTTTATGGGGTTGAGGCCGGCTCCAAGCTCTGGGTGCTCCGGGTCAAAGAGAGACTCGCGGTTGCGTGTGAAGCTTGGCTTCAAAATGTAGCCACATCCACCGTTCTGCCGGAACTTCCCATCGTTAAGGTCCATCTCCCGGCCTGCTGTCTGAAAATTCAGTGCCACTGGGGTTTGGGGGGTGTGGGAGGGGGGCAGGGTGGAGAGGGCAACACCAAAATAAAATTAGCCTTCACGTACATTTCCACCAACTTGGGCCAGTTGACATTCACTCTAAAACCACAATCTAACCCCTGGGGGTGGCAATATGGTGGTTTTGCAATACCATGGAACAACACTGGCTGGTTGAGCGATTGGGTTAAAGCGATGGGCAATCCTGTAGAACTGCAGTGGGAAGCTGTGTACCAATCTGGCAGCCGGTGTTCCATGCCTCCTGGGGGTTGTAGTTGGAGGAGTCGGTTCGCCGGCCGCCCGGGTAGACGCGGCTCAGCTGGAAGGAGTTGTAACGCACAAACTCGTTACCTGCACGCACACACCGTCCGCATTCCCCACAGCACACAACAGAGACGCGCTCGCCCCCCAGCCACGTGTGCACCACAGTGTTCTCACTTACGAACACGTGAAGCACTAATTAACAAGGCTCTCACGTGAAGCACTAATGAACAAGGCTCTCACGTAAAGCACTAATAAACAAGGCTCTCACGTAAAGCACTAATGAACAAGGCTCTCACGTAAAGCACTAATGAACAAGGCTCTCACGTAAAGCACTAATGAACAAGGCTCTCACGTAAAGCACTAATGAACAAGGCTATCACGTGAAGCACTAATGAACAAGGCTCTCACGTAAAGCACTAATGAACAAGGCTCTCACCTACGAACACGTGAAGCACTAATGAACAAGGCTCTCACGTAAAGCACTAATGAACAAGGCTCTCACCTACGAACACGTGAAGCACTAATGAACAAGGCTCTCACGTAAAGCACTAATGAACAAGGCTCTCACCTACGAACACGTGAAGCACTAATGAACAAGGCTTTCACGTAAAGCACTAATGAACAAGGCTCTCACGTAAAGCACTAATGAACAAGGCTCTCACGTAAAGCACTAATGAACAAGGCTCTCACGTAAAGCACTAATGAACAAGGCTCTCACGTAAAGCACTAATGAACAATGCTCTCACGTAAAGCACTAATGAACAAGGCTCTCACGTAAAGCACTAATGAACAAGGCTCACACCTACGAACACGTGAAGCACTAATGAACAAGCCTCTCACGTAAAGCACTAATTAACAAGGCTCTCACGTGAAGCACTAATGAACAAGGCTCTCACGTAAAGCACTAATGAACAAGGCTCTCACGTAAAGCACTAATGAACAAGGCTCTCACGTGAAGCACTAATGAACAAGGCTCTCACGTAAAGCACTAATGAACAAGGCTCTCACGTAAAGCACTAATGAACAAGGCTCTCACCTACGAACACGTGAAGCACTAATGAACAAGGCTCTCACGTAAAGCACTAATGAACAAGGCTCTCACCTACGAACACGTGAAGCACTAATGAACAAGGCTCTCACGTAAAGCACTAATGAACAAGGCTCTCACGTAAAGCACTAATGAACAAGGCTCACACCTACGAACACGTGAAGCACTAATGAACAAGGCTCTCACGTAAAGCACTAATTAACAAGGCTCTCACGTAAAGCACTAATGAACAAGGCTCTCACGTAAAGCACTAATGAACAAGGCTCTCACATAAAGCACTAATGAACAAGGCTCTCACGTGAAGCACTAATGAACAAGGCTCTCACCTACGAACACGTGAAGCACTAATGAACAAGGCTCTCACGTAAAGCACTAATGAACAAGGCTCTCACGTAAAGCACTAATGAACAAGGCTCTCACCTACGAACACGTGAAGCACTAATTAACAAGGCTCTCCACTAAAGCACTAACGAACAATATTCTCGCGTAAAGCACTAATGAACAAGGCTCTCACGTAAAGCACTAACGAACAAGGCTCTCACTATTCTCGGTGGACAATTTGCGAGCCTTGGCCTCTCCGAAGGATGATATGTCGTAGCAGCAGCCCTTCTCGCGCGAAATCTCGAAGCCGCGGAAGTGCACGCTTTTGCAGTAGACGACGCAGTCTGACAGATCCTTCGACAGGGTCAGCTTCCCTTTCTGAAATGCAGCAGGGTCGAGACGCGCCGTTAATGGAAAGCATAATAAGCCACCGAGCAAAAAACGTTATTATTAAAATTGGTCATTTGTGCCGTGCGGGATTCTTGGTGCAGTGTGGGGTCCTTGCCACAGGCATGTTCTTCTTGACCGCCTCATCCTCTATCTCAGCAGCCTCATCTTCATCTGAAACCTCTCCCTGATTGGCATGAACACTCTCCTCCAGCTGGCCGAGCTTTTTACCCTTCACCAAAATCCGGCATTTTAGTTCCTGCGTGCACGCACACATGCACACGCATCGCACAAGTGTCGCACACACGCCATGCACACGCACCATACATTGCAAAAACACCAAATAAACTCCTTCATCGTCCCTCGGTGGTTTGTATTTATAAGGAGCTTGCGCCCTGAATGAAGATGCACATCTTCTGATAACCCCATTCACAAGTATAAAAGTGAATGCAAATCATCTTAATTATAAACACAAATAACAAACACATATTTTTCGATTTAAAGCTTTCGTGACTGCAGGGATTCATCTTCTTGGTTCTTTCGGTAAAGTCACGTAGAAGGGAAGTAATAAAATAATAAAAATAAAAGATAATAAAACAATTCTCACGACGTTTCGGCCACAACGCAAGCAGCCGTCCTCAGGTGAAAACCAGGTCCGTCGAGGCGACAGAGTCTGAATGAAACAGCACACGAGCTTGGAGCATATATATATAAGCTGGGCGCATTGACAAAGGAATTTGCATATCAAAAGGAATTTAGCATATTTATGGGAAATGCAGGAATGTGATTAGTACTGCATATGCATGTGCATTATGCAGGATTAACAGCATCAAAGGGAGCTGCAGTTACTGCTGCTGCTGCAGTTGCTGCTGCTGCTGCAGTTTCTGCTGCTGCTGCAGTTGCTGCTGCTGCTGCAGTTGCTGCTGCTGCTGCTGTTGCTGCTGCTGCTGCACTTGCTGCTGCTGCTGCAGTTGCTGCCTTATCCATTTTAATATAACACTATGTATTATTCTACCCACCCTAATGTGTATCACACTGCTATATGTTTACTATACAATTACGACACCATACATTACTCTGCACACTGCACCATGCCAGTGAGTGGAACGCGGTCTGAAAGTCACCGTAAACGTGAACACAATCAGTTAAGATCCGAAATGGTTTATTACGTCCTTCCAATGATTGCTAAGCCAGAATCCATCTTCTCGGTTGAAATTGTCTCTGTGTTTGTATATGTGGATCGCCTCATGAACGAATCTCTCATGATAGCCAGATGGCTTACAGAGAACCTCTGTCTTGGAGAAGTCAATGTCATGTGAGCCCACTGAATTGTAACAGTGATCTGCCACGGCTGAGGTGTTTGTCCTACCGTGTTTCAGGTCTGCCTTATGTTCACGGATGCGGTCCGAGACATGTCGTTTGGTTTCTCCAATGTAACTGCTACCACAGAGGCAACTTAGTTTCTACAAACTTATGTTCACGGATGCTAAGTTGCCTCTGTGGTAGCAGTTACATTGGAGAAACCAAACGACATGTCTCGGACCGCATCCGTGAACATAAGGCAGACCTGAAACACGGTAGGACAAACACCTCAGCCGTGGCAGATCACTGTTACAATTCAGTGGGCTCACATGACATTGACTTCTCCAAGACAGAGGTTCTCTGTAAGCCATCTGGCTATCATGAGAGATTCGTTCATGAGGCGATCCACATATACAAACACAGAGACAATTTCAACCGAGAAGATGGATTCTGGCTTAGCAATCATTGGAAGGACGTAATAAACCATGTCGGATCTTAACTGATTGTGTTCACGTTTACGGTGACTTTCAGACCGCGTTCCACTCACTGGCATGGTGCAGTGTGCAGAGTAATGTATGGTGTCGTAATTGTATAGTAAACATATAGCAGTGTGATACACATTAGGGTGGGTAGAATAATACATAGTGTTATATTAAAATGGATAAGGCAGCAACTGCAGCAGCAGCAGCAAGTGCAGCAGCAGCAGCAACAGCAGCAGCAGCAGCAGCAACTGCAGAAGCAGCAGCAACTGCAGCAGCAGCAGAAACTGCAGCAGCAGCAACTGCAGCAGCAGCAGTAACTGCAGCTCCCTTTGATGCTGTTAATCCTGCATAATGCACATGCATATGCAGTACTAATCACATTCCTGCATTTCCCATAAATATGCTAAATTCCTTTTGATATGCAAATTCCTTTGTCAATGCGCCCAGCTTATATATATGCTCCAAGCTCGTGTGCTGTTTCATTCAGACTCTGTCGCCTCGACGGACCTGGTTTTCACCTGAGGACGGCTGCTTGCGTTGTGGCCGAAACGTCGTGAGAATTGTTTTATTATCTTTTATTTTTATTATTTTATTACTTCCCTTCTACGTGACTTTACCGAAAGAACCAAGAAGAACAAACACATAGTGTTTGCCATCAAAAATGCATACAGTCTGGCATAACACTGGGCAATTCGCGACAGATAAGGCTGACAGAATGTGTACAAGTTTATCTGTACACCTTTTCCTCATGTAACATGGTTGTTTTTGCTCCGATTTATATTGTCTTCATTGCTGTACTTTTAATTGTTTTGCTTTGGAATGTTGGTGATCCAGGTCGCCCTTGCAAATGGTTACCATCCTTCGTATGGCCTATGAAGAGCAACTATTAGAGATGCAGTTGCAGGTGATTCACCTATTCAATTGCTTTGTCAAAAAGTTGTTGAATTTCACATACGTCCACCACATTCTCAATTATATTCTGAGTTTGGGAAACGGCTGAGCTGCTGGCACCAACTGAAGCACCTCCGATTAGCACGGTTGGCTCCGTACGATGCGAAAGAAGTTCAACATACATACAATAGGACAGAAATGGGGCAATCGGGTCAGCATTGGCTGCTTTTGTCTCTGGACCTTGCATCGTGGCGCCAGGACCTTGGGGCCAGGATCATGTATCGTGGTCAAGATTGGAAACTGGGCTGCAAGATCACATTACAGTACACCATCCTGTTGAGACACAGCGAAATGTCGTGGTGGCAGTGGCCACATGCGGGGAGTCTCACCTCGGGGGACGGCAGCACCGTGGGTACCTTTCCTCCAAGTGGCACCGTCAACAACTTGTTGCCAAAGATATTGCGCATGTATTGAGCCATCACCGTCTGCTGTGGAATGGTGCAGTGGTTCTCGATCGACAGAATTAACGGAAACTCCGATGTCTGCCAACACAAATGCAAACACAGCAACGTTTCGCTAGTTTCAGTGGCATCGCATGCCAAGGCACAGGACATTATATCTAGAGGCACCGTAGAGGCCCTACCAGACTGACATCTTGGTCTCAGCCGTACTGTGTTCAAACCACCATGCTGCAGGTCAAAAAACATTTCTCTTTCTGCTTCTTGCCTAACACTGCTAGGCTGTGGCATTCCCTCCCAGCGTCTCTTTATCCCCGACGTTTCAAAGCCTTGCTCAATTCAAGAAGCGTCTTCACTCTTTTCAATTACATCTCTTTGATGGTGCTGTTTGTTGCTGGTCACTTGCTGCTTTGGGCATTTGGGCCCTGTGCTCAGCAACTGTGTTTAAAAAAATATACAGGTGTATCATTTTTTTTTTATATATAACTTATTTGTGACTGATGTATAGACAGTTGACTGATACATTTAACATAACGATGAGCACCTTCAATTAGCAGGTTGGCTATGTACGGTGCAAAATAAGTTAAACATCCATGCATAAAGAGACAAGGTCTTACAAAGATACTCTGACGGAGGAGTCAAACCTTCTGCAGCTCTGCTTTACAGGAACTGAAGCTGCTATGTTTAAGAGCTTTGAGCTGCATACGATATTGGTGACAGCTGCAAGCATGAGGAGAGGCGGCAGTACCTGGAATGCGTACTGATTGATGACCTCGATGACATCACGAAAGAGGATTTTGGAAGTGAAGGTGTAGCCGTGGTAGACAATGGGTTCCCCATTTGGGCCGTCCCAACAATCGAGCTCCACGCAGCGGCACCCGCGCTTCAGAGCCCTGAGCACGGGGAGGGACCGACCGCTCAGCAATGAGTTGACACCTCCCTAGACAACGGGACTTAAAGGGATCAAACTCTTTTAGACATCATCATAGTCCCCTCCCCACTTCTCCTCCTATCCACCTGCCCCCCTTTTCTCATGTTAGTTATATTTGCCTCAAACTTTTTCCCCTCTCCATGTAAACTTTCATGCCCTCGCTAGTGGTCCCCACGTGGATGGGGCAGTGAGCCCAATTATCCCCCTGTACTATGCCCCGCCACGCCGAACTCGGGCTGTTGTTCGCAGAATTTTTGTTCCCCCCTCCGTTCTGTGATCGGCGCTTTGTACTGGGCTTGCATTGAGTCACAATAAAATACAAAAAAATACAAAGAAGTCATCATAGTCCCATGGTACTGATTGTAATTGCATAATATACATTTCATTATAATAATACATATATACATGTAACAACAACAGTCGCCAAACACCAAGACGGATCATAGGCAGGCCAGCCTGATTATTTCCAGCTGGCAGAGGTGTTTCTGTGAAGAAGTCCACGTTTTACAAATATATATACACACACATACAAAAAAATACAAACACAAAGATCCTCCAAGTAGCCTGACAGACTGTTGGGTGGCCAGTGCCATGCCTCGACCGCCTTTGGTCTCCTTAGTGGTGATGTTTACACATTGCACCAGGTACTAATTTGAGGCTGAGTCGACCTAGGGAAGGCCCAGGACTGGTTAAGATAATCGTCACTGGTGTTGGCCATGAGCAGGAATCGAACTCGGGCTACCGGGTGCAAAGTGCAGGGCGCTAACCATTGCACCACAAACACACACACACCAACACTCACACACTGATGCATACTTGAGCACCTGGCATAGGCCTCAGTGCTGCTGGGTCCACGGAGCTGGTCTTCCATCAGGTAGGTGTTGTGCGAGGATGAGATGAAGTAGTGGCTGAGTGGGTGGGTCATGTCCTGGAATACGTGTCCGTGGCTTGGGTTGAAAATGCTGCCGTCCGCGGACATGAGGTACATGGTGAAGCCATCCAGAGTCATGCTCTGCTGCTTTTTAGCTGCGCGCCCAGAGGACAACGCATCGTCTATCAGTGTTATTCATAACAACAAAAACAACAACTTACATCTATAATTCACCCACAGCGTAATAAACGCCTCGGAGCAGAAACACAAAGAAGGAAAACTTGAGGGACCGAGTGAGGGAAGCAGAGAAAACAGGCGATTAAGGGGATCCAAACACATGGACAGGGATTGACGAGAAAGATTTAGAGCAGAGACCTGATAGCAGAGAAAGAGGAGGGGACCAGGCCTCGTTGTTTGAAGAGGAAGTTCCAGAGGGCGGGTGGCATTGTGGATAAATGAACAGCCACAAATGGTGGAGTAGCAGACCTTGGGAGTAAGGAGGCACCCAGAGTCCGTAGAGTTGAGGGAGACGGCTGGGATGTAGACATGCTGCACCCATGGTGGGCGAGTGGACTACCATGATTTCAACAAGCACTGCTTGATCTGCTGATGTCCATCATTATAAAATCTTTTTGTCCAGGACAACCTCAATGTATCTGAGCATATTCTTTGGGATTCTGCTTTGGAAGTGTCCATACAATATTTGATGACCAAGTGAGAGAACCTCATTGCTGATAAGAACGTTTCAGAGATGAGAGAAATTTCCTCCAAATATCTATAGAAAATATTGAAACAATCCACCACTATTAAACATGATAATCACGAATAAGTGTATTTATTGTGAGGTACAGTGCACCTCAACAATTGCAATTATCCACATACTCTATGGAATGCACGTGCTTTCCTATCATCCATGTGCTACGCTCTTCCTATTAACCAAGCCATAATGTAGATAAGAGAAGGTGACCCGGGAAAGTCAGCACGTGTTATTAACTGTGCTTATCTGCAGTGGGGAATACCCGTGCAGAACTCCCAGGGCTCAGAATACGTCATCAACAATGTCTTATGCGTTGTTGTTGTTGGGGACGTTTCCCACTTGTCAGTCTTGTGGCGATGATGATGATGATAGTGGTCATGCGTTTGGTGGTCATTATTTTTGAGAGTTTTGATTATTTATCCAAAAATCTCAACTAGTCTCAAGAGGGTCCTGCCAGGCTCTTCAAAGTAGGGGGCAATGTTGCTACTACAGTATGTGTAATCACAATTATGTAAATTGCAGGTATTTTTTTCAGAACTGGGATGGGGTTTTTTTTTGCTATGAGAGACAATCAGAGAACCCTGTGCAAACCCCATCCAGAGCAGGGGGAGAACATACCAAATCCATGCAGAAAGGTGCCCGAGCTAGGAATCGAATCCAGGTGCTTCTTGATGTGAGGCAAAAGTGTTACCCACTGCGCCACCCTGCCACCCATAATGCCATAATCACCTACTGGGCGGACACCTACCCATGGCCGAGGGCTCGTACATGTCCAGAATCGCAGCTGCATGGCCCTCGCTTGCTCCGGCCTCCATGTCCTCGTGCTGCTGCTCCGATAGGAAGCGGCGGAAAAGCTCCAGGCTCAGGAGGTTTTCACCCGACGTCAGCTGCGAGAAGAGTGAGGTCACCTCCTCCCGGCGTGTCAGCTGCTTGTAGAGCTCCACAAACTCATCTTCCTCCAGCACACCAGACTTAGACGTGTCGCAGTGCTGTGGGAAATGCAGGCGATAATGACAAACACTCACAAATCTTGCGGTGGTGGTGGTGGTGATATCGCCTAGCAGTAGCACATTCGCTGATTATTGCAGAGGTTCACAATTCGAATTCAGCGGTCACCATAAGCATCATTACTCCGGGTGTAATAACTGTAATAAAAATGTGCCATCTCCTTCACAGTGAATGTTAAAGATCCCCTGGTAGGCCATTGTGTGCTGGCGTTAGGGTCCACATTTTCCATTTTTGATGCTTATCCAAAAGTTACTCAACTGAGATTACACACGCCAGGATTGTTACATCACAAGACTGTGAGAGATGTGATAGCTTTGCGTGGTATTCATCTACCAGTGGTTAGATCATGGCTGACGATTAATAGTCTTAATTATCAGTTGGACATCAAAACATTACCATTAATAACTGGAGTCATAATAACACATTTCCATAAGTGTGGACCTATATGCGGCATAACAGGCTGGATTGGATTAAAGTCATCAATGATTGCTTTGAATATTAAATATTAAATGTGCAAAATAAACACAGCTCACTGTATTGGAAGTGAGTACTCATCACATTGTACTTAAGCCAAACAAATCAAAATCATGCTGCTACTGCTACACAGACGAGCAGGTCGACATTGGTTACCAAGGCCTACCTGCCCTGCTCGCTATTTGGTGATGCTGCATTGGCAGTGGTGCACAAGCCACAATAAAAACAATGTTAACAATCACACTGTGTGTGGCCTTCAAAGAAAAACAAATTTGCGACGAAATAATGTATTTTGGGCAATGGCCTTTCAGAGCACATACAATGATTTATGTGTGTGCTTTATGAGGAAGGACCATTGCCTCAAACGTTGCCCATTATATTTATTTATTTAAATACCAATGTTAATGATGAATGTGTTGAGTTGTTTCACTACTAGCTGCTCTAGAGCAGCGTTAACCGCGAACACCATCACTACCGCTACCACCACAACACCATCACCACCACTACCACCACACCATCATCAACTACCACTACAACCACAACACCATCACTACCACAACCACAATACCATCACTACCAATATCTAGACACCATCACTACCACCGTTACGACCACCACCAACACCGTCACTACCACTGCCATGCCTACTATCATCATCACTATCAACACCAACTCCATCAATACCACTACAACACCATCACTACCACCAATTTAATATTTCACAGAATTTAAATATATCCAGGTTATGTTTTACTTCAGCTATTATCCTTCGCGTTTTCATAAATCTCCCCACGAAGATGCGTCGTGGACATCCTGTCGTTTGGTTTGGCCATCTGCATCGAAATAAATCCTGTTAAGACAGTCGTTTCCTTCTCCCCGCTCTATCCCGTCAGCTTGTGCCACCGGACAGAGTTCCCGAACACCGTCTTGCAGAAGGAAAGAGGAAAATAATGTTTGGCGAGATTCTGTGCCAATCAGGGCAGGGCTTGGCTATTGTTGAACGCATCTATGCTGTGCTGTTACTCTTGACAACTATCGGAGAATAATAACATTCTCGACATCGAGTCAGCCTCCGAGGCCTATAACACAACCCTGAAAACGATTGTGGAGAACCCAATCTACAGGCCCTTTAAAATAAATATACACGTATGTACGCACAAATGTAAAGCTCAGTAGCTATGATTCAAAATGCTCCTCGTTGCTTCGGCAAGGTCGTGCGGTGACTTGTCTGAGAAAACTGCACGCGTTTTTCACCCCCTGAGGGTATGTCAATGAGAGGCAACGCCCTGCGCCTCCGCCACAGTCAACATCGTTCAACGCTTCAGTAAATCTAACACCACAATGGACAACTAACACAGCTTCAACCTGTGTACAAATGCTTAGAGGTACAGTGCCACTGAGTGTATGATGGATGTATATATGGATGAATACACGAGGTGGTACATAATTTAGAGTTACTGCAGTACAGGGACACATTCCATCACCATCATCAATCAGTCATGATCAATCCACTGCTGTATGAAGGCCTGCTCAAGCCGTTGTCATCTGTCCTGTGATGTAATGTTCCACCTAGCACCCTACACACAACCCTATTTCATCACTCAGTCAGTCAACCAAATTGCAGATAACGTGATTAATTTACGAACATGCGGAGTGTGGTCTATGCACAAACAGCACTCACTCCGTTAAGCCACCTCCACGAATTACATTGGAAACAAAACATTCCCCTCTCTCGGTAAAGTCATGTAGAAGGGAAATAATAAAATAATATTAATATAAAACAATAAAAATTCTCACGACGTTTTGACTGCAACACAAGCAATCATCAGGTGGATTTCACACCAGGTGGATTTCACACCTGATGATGATTGCTTGTGTTGCAGTCGAAACGTCATGATAATTTTTTTAGTTTTATATTAATATTATTTTATTATTTCCCTTCTACATGACTTTACCAAAAGAACCAAGAATATGAATCCCTGCAGTCACGAAAGCTTTAATTCAAGATTCCCCTCTCTGTTAAGTGCTCAACGATCTAAAACATGACAGTGCTCAAAAGGGGATGTGGATGGAAACGAAACGTGTGCAAACGTTCGTACCTGAAAGAGACCCTTCACATATTTGTCGTCCACGGCGGTGTTCATGAGCTTCAGCAGGCTCTTCACCTCCGAGAGGGTCATCTTACCATCCTTGTTTTTGTCGGCCTTCTGCACCCAGTCATAGATCCACGTTAATGTGCGTCAAGGAGGATTTCTTTTCGCAACACAGGTGAGGGGGACGCAAGCAAGTACAGTCTCTTCTCCAATAACGCGCATTGTCATAACACGAATTATATATAACGCGATGAATGTATTAGGGAACACATTTTTTATAACGTGTATGCGAATTGGATATAAGGCGATTGAGTGAGCAGAACTAAGTCGCGTGAGTAGGAATAAGAGGTTGTATGGCTGCCTAGGTGTAGCATCACACAAGGCGGGATGCTGCTGGATGATTCTAGATGCTAACCACGCGCCTCAATCTTTGTTCAGCCTGCATGTGAATCTCACGTGTACTCGTGGATTGTGCTTTAGCCTATAGTCTAAATTATTTATTCTAACGCGATCGTCTATAACGCAGTGTTCTTCAGGAACGCAACTACCGCATTATATGAGAACAGACTGTACTGACTGTAGTTGTCAATATATCAAGAACTTAAAATTACAAGTGTAATTTCACTCAATGTGGACATGGGGTTATGTAGCTGTGGAAAATCTCTGAAGAACAGTGACTGACGAACTCTGGGCAGTGTCCCATTGTAATATGCTGTATCTGTGCAAAATCTGCACTATTTTAAAACGTTTTAAATACATCAATCGTTACAACTTAAAAGGCAAATGGTAGCTATTTTTTCCCAATGTTCCCTCACTGTAGCAACTCCTTCAAACTGAAAGGTTATTGATCAGATGCGTTTGCTCACTAAAACTATGTTTCAACTCCCGTTCATTTGATTTATTTGTAACCATTGTTAAAAAGGTTCTTATCTGTATGCAAACACATAGCGAGTATAGGTGTCAGGGAGTTCACGCTGACTTTCGTCCTTTTACCTGACCCTCTCTACCCTTGCCCCTCTCAATATCATCTCGCTCCTGCTCCTGTCAATTCCTCAAGGCCCAGATGGTCCCCACTACCACCAGCAGAAGAAGGATATTGGTCGAGCTTCCCGCGATGGTTCTGGCTCTTGTGCTGAGCCATCAGCTTGCGGAGGCCCCGCACCCAGAGCTGGGCTTCCTGTTTCGAGGAAGCCACCAGGTCCAAGTTTTCCTTCCGTCCATGGAAAGCCACCGAGAAGCAGTGCTCCTGGGGGAATTCATGCTGCACGAAGCGCAGTGCCTCCGATTGGTGGCCCTCCAGGACCATCTCCATCTCCTGAACGAAGTCTGCACCAGGAAGAATTCGATTTTTATGGCAAGATGTGTTTTATTCGATCTAAATTATGATTGGCATTCCTTTCCAGGTGCTGGACAGCATTAGAATTGCCCATGGAATTTCTAAATCACCTGTATTTATAATTCCCCGACATATATCCTGAGCTTATAGATAGTTTCACTGACATCCATGCTTACACGTAAATGTGTATTTGTGATTGGGAAATATACACAAACACCTGCAATATTTAGCCACTATCAGTCATACATAACACTGTTAACACTGTTCACTTTCGTATGTGGCACATTTTCATTTGATTTCTTTAAATATTTTAACCTGGATAATCCCTTGAGATGAATCATCTCGTTTGCATGGGTCTTCAGGGTGTCAAGTTACACATACATGGGATATGCGGAGTGACACAGCATGAGGTTTAACTCATCACGACCACTGTATTAATATACCGCACATAATCTGTACCAACCGTAGCTCTTGCTCATTGTATCGGGTGACATTGTTAAAGGGTACATTGTTTTTAGTCATTATGCCAGCGTGCCTCTCAAATAATCCACAGACTGAATACGTATTTGTCTGTAGGTGAAGCTGCCTTGTACTCACACGTGGTTTTGGACTGGCCAAATTTTTTGGAGTCGCAAACCAACGAGCTGAGGTCGTCCTGCAGCTGCAAGCTGCGCTTCTTGTTCCATCCGTTGGCCTTCACCTTGCGCATTGTTCTGCCCTGCACCATGGCCTGCAGATCTTCATCGAAATTCATTCCTGCACAACCAAGAGGCACGAGTGTGAATGCCCCATACTTCATGCGTGCGGTGATAAACAAATGCAACCAGACCTTGATTACGGACAAAACCTGCCTGCCTCTCTCAAAGAAAGACGAGTACCAATTTTAGTAATTAAGAAACGTCTGCACCGATCTATGCTATAATCATGGCTGATAATGGGAATGAATTACTCGGGGAACTCGTAAATACTCCCACCACGGTGTTCTGACCTATTTCCACCCGTGGGTATAATACAGTACTCGTAAACTATCCACGGAGCATGTAAATTGCTTACAGCTGTTATGCCGAAACCCATCCTTAATGGCTCTTATACAAAATAACCACTCGTTTAAAATAACAATTCTGGTGTGAACACACAAGGAATATAGGCTATCAACACCTGTCAACACATACGAGTTACATTAGAAGTAGTTGTTGCGGCAATTGTGGGATCAACAATGCATCAATGAATCTGCATACACTGCGAGTGCGGCGCAGTTGTATTTAGTAATTTTAGTTCTACTGTATTACTGTAAATAAAATATTTTGTATGTATGTAGAACTTCTTTCTCACCATACGTAACCAACCGTGCTGATCAGAGCAGCATGGGAAGGACAACAAACTAACCACAAAAAGCAGCTCTTAAGAAATTAGTTTTCAATCTGGATTTAAAAGTGCACAGCTCCAGTGACTTCCTTGCATCGAAAGAGCGTTCCAGACGGCCGCGGAAGGGACGTCTCGTTTGCAAGGGTGTCAATTGAGTTTGGGGTCACGTTCGTGCCACAATGCCAACATGCGGATCTCAATAAGCAATGCAAGCTGATGTCTTTGGGTCATGCTGCTGACATGATGTTGATATTATTGCATTTGTTTACCCAGTAGAGACTCACTCAAAGAGTCTCGGATTCCAAGCTTGGCAGGAAGGTTCCTGCCAAGTAACATTTTATCAGTAGGGGGCGACGATTGCTATGCGCTTCCAAATTAAGTACTTTGCCAGTGCGTACTGTACGATGTAATTTTCTCAAATGTTGACAAATTATAACGACGGTGGCGGTGATGATGGCGGAACGCACAGCGGTGGTCTAAGTCGTATTCGATTTGATTGACGTCCGGAGGGAATGATCCGTCTCGAGGTGGTGACTACATTGGACGCCAATTCCGTCGTGTCGGTGAATCCGATGACTGAGCAAGCCTCGCACGACGCACACGGAGGCGGGTGACGATGAAGACCACGACGACAACACCACCACCACAACAACACCACCACCACAACACCACCACCAAGACAACACCACCACCACGACAACACCACCACACTACACCACCACCACACCACCACTACCACACCACCCCACTACACCACCACCACACCACCACTACCACACCACCACTACCACACCACCACTACCACACCACCACTTCCACACCACTACCACACAACCACCACGCCACCACACACACCACCACATCACCACACACCACAACACCACACACCACAACACAACCACCACACCACCACACACAACACCACCACCACATCATGGTGTTGGTGTGAGTCAAGAGCCGAATGGCTCACAGGGCTATACCTAATAAATGAACTTGAACTTGAACCACCATCAACCCACCACCCTCCACGCCACCACCACACCACCAACACACACCACCACCAACACAACACCACCACCACAACACCACCACTACACCGCACCACCACCACAACACCACATACCACACCACTACCACACCAACACCACCACCACAACACCACCACTACACCGCACCACCACCACAACACCACATACCACACCACTACCACACCAACACCACCACCACAACACCACCACTACACCGCACCACCACCACAACACCACATACCACACCACTACCACACCAACACCACCACCACCACAACACCACCACTACACCGCACCACCACCACAACACCACATACCACACCACTACCCAGAGGTGGGACAAAGTCATTGTTATGCAAGTCCAAGTCGAGTCTGAAGTCATCAAATTCATGACTCGAGTCTGACTCGAGTCCAAGTCACATGACTCGAGTCCACACCTCTGCCACTACCACACCAACACCACCACCACTACACCACCACCACTACACCACACACAACACCACACACAACACCACCAACTACACCACACACAACACCACCACCACTACACCACCACCACACCACCACCAACTACACCACAACAACACCACCACCACCACACGTCTCTGGCTTCGAGGGGGGCCCCCCTATCGGAGCGGTGTCTCCCCGCCAGCCCCGACGTGGGGAAGAAGCGAGACCCCCCCCCCCCCCCCCGTGGGACCGGATCAGATTCATTTCACTGAAACTACAGAGTCACGAAAGCTTCGAATCGAGTTTGAAACGAAGTGTGCACAGTTACGTCCCTAATCGTGACAATACCCCCACCGCACACACACAAGCACATTTACAATGAATACAAGAACAATGCGAGGTTTTAAAATCTATTTTCAAACATTAACAAACAGTATCGCAACTGTCACCCACGTTAAGGGTTCGTTAAATTTTTTATTTTTAACTCCGCGACCAACACAAATTTCACGGACAAACCACAAAGCCCCCCACGGTGTTTGCCCCTTCGCGACGTTTCGCTCCCCCGTGCCAGTGGCAGGAGCTCAACCGCGGGGTGGCGTCCACCCACGAGAGAGGAAAACCGATCTGATTAAAGACCTTATCGACATCTAATCCACAGCCCACAGCCCAAGACACACACACACACAGAGAGAGAGACACGACCCTGACCGTGGCCCCCTCTCACCCAGGTGGAGGCTCTTCTGAGCCGCCGCCGCCGCGGCAGACGCGCGCTGCTGGGCCATGGCCGGTGGCGTCGTGCGGGAGAAGCCAAATTTAACGAAGACCTCCTCCTCCTAAACAACAACAGCAACAACGTCTCTCTCTGTCTGTCGTCGTCTCTTCCCAGCGCCACCGACTGGTGCCTCGCGGAAGACGTCCGCGCCGAGACGTTGCCGGGGTGGGTGGGGGGGGACCCGAGCAGCCGAGTCGGGGCTGGTGGCGGTGGCGGTGGGAGGAGGAATGCGGACGGGTCGCGGGTGGGAGGCAGTGGAGGAGGGTGGGAGATGGAGAGGGGTGGTGGTGGTGGGAGATGGAGAGGTGGTGGTGGTGGTGGGAGATGGAGAGGTGGTTGTGGTGGTGGTGGTGGGAGATGGAGAGGGGTGGTGGTGGTGGGAGATGGAGAGGTGGTTGTGGTGGTGGTGGTGGGAGATTGAGAGGGGTGGTGGTGGTGGGAGATTGAGAGGGGTGGTGGTGGTGAGAGATGGAGAGGTGGTTGTGGTGGTGGTGGTGGGAGATGGAGAGGTGGTGGTGGTGGTGGGAGATGGAGAGGTGGTTGTGGTGGTGGTGGTGGGAGATGGAGAGGGGTGGTGGTGGTGGGAGATGGAGAGGTGGTTGTGGTGGTGGTGGTGGGAGATTGAGAGGGGTGGTGGTGGTGGGAGATTGAGAGGGGTGGTGGTGGTGAGAGATGGAGAGGTGGTTGTGGTGGTGGTGGTGGGAGATGGAGAGGTGGTGGTGGTGGTGGGAGATGGAGAGGTGGTTGTGGTGGTGGTGGTGGGAGATGGAGAGGGGTGGTGGTGGTGGGAGATGGAGAGGTGGTTGTGGTGGTGGTGGTGGGAGATTGAGAGGGGTGGTGGTGGTGGGAGATGGAGAGGTGGTTGTGGTGGTGGTGGTGGGAGATGGAGAGGTGGTGGTGGTGGTGGGAGATGGAGAGGTGGTTGTGGTGGTGGTGGTGGGAGATTGAGAGGGGTGGTGGTGGTGGGAGATTGAGAGGGGTGGTGGTGGTGAGAGATGGAGAGGTGGTTGTGGTGGTGGTGGTGGGAGATGGAGAGGTGGTGGTGGTGGTGGGAGATGGAGAGGTGGTGGTGGTGGTGAGAGATGGAGAGGTGGTTGTGGTGGTGGTAGATGGAGATGGGGAGGTGGTGGTGGTGGTGGGAGATGGAGAGGTGGTGGGAGATGGAGAGGTGGTGGTGGTGGGAGATTGAGAGGGGTGGTGGTGATGGGAGATGGAGAGGTGGTTGTGGTGGTGGTGGTGGGAGATGGAGAGGTGGTGGTGGTGGTGGGAGATGGAGAGGTGGTGGTGGTGGTGGGAGATGGAGATGGGGAGGTGGTGGTGGGAGATGGAGAGGGGGGGAGGTGGTGGTGGGAGATGGAGGTGGTGGTGGTGGGACGTGGAGAGGGTGGTGGTGGTGGTGGTGGGAGATGGAGAGGGGTGGTGGTGGGAGATGGAGAGGTGGTTGTGGTGGTGGTGGTGGGGAGATGGAGAGGTGGTGGTGGTGGGAGATAGAGAGGTGGTGGTGGTGGTGGGAGATGGAGAGGTGGTGGTGGTGGTGGTGGGAGATGGAGAGGTGGTGGTGGTGGTGGGAGATGGAGAGGTGGTTGTGGTGGTGGTGGGAGATGGAGAGGTGGTGGTGGTGGTGGGAGATGGAGAGGTGGTGGTGGTGGTGGGAGATGGAGAGGTGGTGGTGGTGGTGGGAGATTGAGAGGTGGTGGTGGTGGTGGTGGGAGATGGAGATGGAGAGGTGGTGGTGGTGGTGGGAGATGGAGATGGGGAGGTGGTGGTGGTGGGAGATGGAGAGGTGGTGGGAGATGGAGAGGTGGTGGTGGTGGGAGATTGAGATGGGTGGTGATGGGAAATGGAGATGGGGAGGTGGTGGTGGTGGGAGATGGAGAGGGGGGAAGGTGGTGGTGGGAGATGGAGGTGGTGGTGGTGGGACGTGGAGAGGGAGGTGGTGGTGGTGAGAGATGGAGAGGGGAGGTGGTGGTGGTGGTGGTGGGAGATAGAGAAGGGAGGTGGTGGTGGTGAGAGATGGAGAGGGATGTGGTGGTGGTGAGAGATAGAGAGGGGAGGTGGTGGTGGTGGTGGTGGTGGGAGATGGAGAGGTGGTGGTGGTGGGAGATGGAGAGGGGAGGTGGTGGTGGGAGATGGAGAGGGGTGGTGGTGGTGGTGGGAGATGGAGACGGGAGGAGGAGGAGGTGGTGGTGGGAGATGGAGATGGGAGGTGGTGGTGGTGGGAGATGGAGATGGAGAGGGGTGGTGGTGGGAGATGGAGACGGGAGGAGGAGGAGGTGGTGGTGGGAGATGGAGATGGGGAGGTGGTGGTGGTGGGAGATGGAGATGGGGAGGTGGTGGTGGTGGGAGATGGAGATGGAGAGGGGTGGTGGTGGGAGATGGAAACGGGTGGAGGTGGTGGAAGATGGAAAGGGGTGGTGGTGGTGGTGGGAGATGGAGAGGGGTGGTGGTGGTGGGAGGTGGAGAGGGGAGGAGGTGGTGGTGGTGGAAGATGGAGAGGGGAGGTGGTGGTGGTGGGAGATGTGATGGATGATGGGTGACGAGAGAGAGGTGGGGATGGAGATTGCGATGTTGTTGGGGGGGAGCCCAGCGGGGAGTGTCGCTTGGCGTCTTGCGTCTCGAGGCGACTGGATGGGGGTGGGTGGTGGGGGTGGTGTGGGGGGGGGTGGTGGGGGTGGTGTGGGGGGGTGGGTGGGGGTGGTTGGTGGGGGGTTGGTGGGGGGTGGTTGGTGGGGGTAGTGGGTGGGGGTGTGGGTGGTGGGGGGGTGGAGTGGGTGGGGGTGTGGGTGGTGGGTGGGTTTGGGGTGGTGGGTGGGGGTGGAGCCGCTGGGACCCCAAAAAAAAATCCTACAAATATTACGGAACGGAAAAAAACAACCGGTGTGGAATTCTTCTTCTTCCTACTACTAATTATTATTATGTTTCTACAGTCGACGTGGGTGGGGGGCTCGCAGGTCCTGGGCGTAAATGAGTTCATGGGCTTGCCCATACTGGACATTTGCGAAGAAGAGCTTTACAGCTCATCGGATTCACCCAGTCTCAATAAAGATTCAGAATGTGAAGCATCGGCACGAGCAGAAACGGGGCTGGAGGGAGGTGAGCGCAGCTCAACGCCAGCGCCGCCACCGCGTTGGGACACGACTCGTTCGGTTCAGATGATGCCCATCGAGGCCAGGCACCAACCAGCTTCGATCTAACACGGAAACATTGGGCAGCGTTTAACCAGATCCGCAGAAAACCCACGAAAGACGCAGGATACCTAAAGCGTAAGTGGGAAATGAAGACTCGCTCCCACCCTCTCTCTCTCTTCCTGCGCTCCACATACCAAATCATAGACCACATGATTTTTTTATTTCGTGTGGGATAAAACGAAATACTGTATCCCGAAGATAACCAAGGCACACGATGGAGGCAGGGGTCAGTTCCTGCGGTAACGCAGCCGCATTGCGGCTCTTTAAGGACTGCTCCGTAACCTTATTCACGCGAATTGCGGCTCTTGAAATATTGATGGGGTTTTTTTTTGTTTTTACCGATTTGAATTTTTTTAATCTTATTTTTATTTTTGTTGTCGACCCCCTGCGATAGGCAGACATGTCCCCCGCACAAATCTGTCTCTCCACTTCACAAATAAATAAAAGATATTTCACGATACGAATATTGACTTCGACTGGAGCAATCCGATGTCACATGTCCAGTAGGGGCGGCCCAATGGCTTCTGTGAGTGGATAACTCCATCAGCACTGATTGAGTACAAGCAAACTCTGGACGTGCATTGACACGCAGTGTCTCGTCAGCAGGGTCAGGCTTGCTAGAATCAATGCTGGTGAACTTTCAAATGTTAAAGTCTCTTTAAAATATGGGTTTAACTCCACACAGATTGCGTTCTGGCCACACGACCACGACATAGCAGTGGGAGTCTTGTCGTAAATCATATTCCATCTCTACGCGACCCACCAACCCTACTTACAATTTGTTTACCATATGATACAGTACCGTTACCGTATTACGAACGTGCGCCCCTAGAGGTAGTCTATATATGTCGATTTAAAATGTCAATGAGCATAGTTAAAGCCAATATTAGAAGGTATCAGCTTCCAATTCGCTAAGCTAGACTAAGGTACCTTTACAATTATTGGGGTTATTGTTAAGTCTTGATGCGGAACGTGTCAATTTTAAATGCAACAACGTTGAGGCCAACAATTTTGTTGGCTCACCCAAAAATAGCTCGGCTGCAGAAATACACTTTTCCAGTTCTTTGTAATCTAAAATCAAGTAAAACGCAACGTCTAAGCAGGACGATAGCGCAGGCCGGAACTCCATACATTTAAAACGACACTTAAACACGTGATGAGTGTTATGATCATAATGATGGCAATAAATTGACTACGAATTATTTGTTGATTGTCCTCACACGAGAGGACAGCACAAGAGTAAGGTCACGAGTTCAAATCTGCACCCTAGGGCAGTCGATAAAATGAGTACCACGTTGCGGATGGTAAAATGGTGGTCCTATTCAAATACTCGCCCCCGCCATAGGAACGTGGAATGTCTACCACTGTCTTAGGGCTGTATACAGGAGGTGAGTGCAGCCTCAATGCTCTCGTGAGCAGGAAATCTCGGACCTATCCATGTTGTTGTTGTTATGTGTTGGCAATTGGAGCCACACACAAACACATCTTACTGGTAGGAACCTCCTGTTACACCAGCCCACAGGAGATTATTGTGTCCGTCCGTCCTGCAGGGAGGGACTGGGCGGGGAGGGGCTGGGTGGGGAGGGGAGGGTGGGGAGGGGCTGGGTGGAGAGGGGCTGGGTGGGGAGGGTGGGGCTGGGTGGGGGATGGGAGGGGTGGGGCTGGGTGGGGAGGGGCTGGTCACCCCGTGATTATTGTGTCCGTCGTGCAGGGAGGGGCTGGGTGGGGAGGGAGGGGTTGGGTGGGAAGGGGCTGGGTGGGGAGGAGAGGGTGGGGAGGGGCTGGGTGGGGTGAGTTGGGTGGGGAGGGTGGGGAGGGGTTGGGTGGGGAGGGTGGGGAGGGGCTGGGTGGGGAGGGTGGGGTGGGGCTGGGTGGGGGGTGGGAGGGGTGGGGCTGGGTGGGGAGGGGCTGGTCACCCCGTGGTGCCCTTATAAAACTCAACGTTTAACCTACTCACGCCGGCTTGTGCCCGCCCTCA